ATGTTGTCTTAGACTTACACTGTTTTAGGCTTTTACCAGGCAGTCTGAAGGTCACCAACAAATTAACAATATCATCCCACTCTCCACTAATAGATGCTATGCTAAGAGAAGTGAATAGTTTTGTTTTTGGGCAAAAAATAGGTTGAGATATATGATAATACTGCTGTTGATCTGAATGTGATAGAACCCTCTGGTTGCCTATTGATAATTCATCCATGTCTGATAAATTAATGAGTCTGCATCCTACCATCTGTACTTGCCTTGCAGCTGGCTATCAAAAAGTACGTTGGTTGTTCTATGCCCTTTTCAACACTATTGAAGCCCAACTTCATCTCATTGTTCACACAAACTAGAGTACAATCTTTTCAGCCACATCTGGAGACAGAGATCACCATGAGGAGTATAATTAACAAAGGACAAAAATACAATTAATACAACAGTACTCACATGGAAGGTCTTCCAAGTAGCATATCCCAGTAAGAGACCATATTCTTAAAGCATAGCTTAGTGATGCTTTTGAAATAATGATTGTTTTAGGCACACTTGAAATGTGCAAAAGAATAATGGTTTCTCTAGAAGGGGGCTGTTGAGGAGTCTCTGAACTTTACATCAGAGTTCAGCCATCAGAAAGGTGAGTCTGGCTATACAGTTTTGTCCAGTTAACTACAAGTATCTTAATTCTTCCCTCATGTATCTTAATTTCTAAAATATATGGAGAAAGTTAAGTGGGACATAGGAACAATTTGTGCTTTTGGAACAATTTTGCATTCAGATACTCCTCTTAAAGGGACCCCACCCCACTTTCAATAGATTGATAATACAAAGTTGCTCTTCTAGTATGGAAAAACAAAACAACTGTTTCTCCCAAAGCACATTTCAGGCATAGAATTTTCAGTTTTATTTAAGACCCTGAGTTAGAATTAGCAATAGGACTGTTAAGAGTACTTAGAGAATCCTAAGAAATCATTTATTCCAACTCTTTCATTTTAAGTTGGGACATCCAAAGCTCAAGAGCTGTCCTGGCCAAGACTGGCCAAAATCGATAAGTGACTAAATATAAATTAATATATCCTTCCTTGTTCCCATTATACCTTGATTTAAAGAGATTTAGTACACAATGGAGAATAATGCATTAGCAAAAAGCTCCCAGTTTGTTTCACCTCTGTGTTTACTTGTTGGCTTTCTGAGACAGCCTGGATTTTGCCAACAAAATATCACTAAGGGACTTATTTATTTTTTGTGGTGCTGGGGATCAAACCTAGAGCATCTCGTGCATGCTTGGCAAGCACTCTGCCACTGAGCTATATCACTAGCCCATTAATTATTTTTTAGTTTGATAAGTATTACATTCTCAAGCAAGTGACTGATATGTTAAGTATTGGTTAGAGAGGGAAAAGGCAAGTAAGAATAATATGAGAAGGCTCCCAATGTGAAATTGATTTGTCTGGAAAACTGTTTATTTCGTTTTCTTCAGGACTTTGTTTTTATTTTTGGGCAATAGAACGCATACAAAGATAATCAAAAAAAGGGCTAATTCATATAGTCTGATGGGTCATAATTTGAAACGTTTACATGTGAGTCAAATTTGAAGTATAATTTCTTTTGTTTAAAAATTTGAGAATACAGTTGAGTGATAAGATCACTAGGTACCTTATATGCCCAGCATCACTCATTATTATAGTCTAATGTTGCTTTCTAGCATTCTGATTTGTATATGATCCAAAGACTATAAATTCTATGCAACAGTAAGACTAGAGTATCAACCAGTATTGGGTTTTTTCTCTGAATATCATTTCTTCACAGGAAAATTTCAAGTTGGAATGCTTCCTTTGGTCATATGCATTTCCTGTTTTTGTTACTATTTTTGAAGACTGAAAGGCAGGGGTTCAAATATGATTGGTCTCTGGTTGGAGACTATTTCTGAATTAGTTCAGTCACTTGAGAAACTTTTTTTTTTTTTTTTTTTTGCTGGGGATTGTGCATGCTGAGCACATGTTCTACCACTGAACTACACCTTCAGCCTCAAGAAACATTTATTAAGCACCTACTGTTGCCAGGTACTATATAGATACTGAGGATATGAAGGTAAGATTTGATATGGTCCCTGCCCTAATGGACCTTATAATCTTATGTGGTCTCAATTTGATTTTCTACTTAGAATAATAAAACTGCCTTGTTTTCTTTGGTCACTTAAAGCATTTTTTCTGATTTTCTCTTGGTAAAACTTTTAATTCTCACTTTTTGCAAGCACAAACCACTAAGTAATCTGCAGTCTCCTCCATTCTTGGTTGGAGAGGTGTTTTGTTTCTGTGAGACATTTTCTAATTTTGGTGAGACTTGCCTTTTCTCCTTCTTAGCTTATACATATTTCTTAGATTATGTTGCAGAGAGGTCAAGTTTCTGATATAAAGTAAATTTTATACAGGAAGATGACTTTCAAACATAGTCATGTTCCTATAGAGAATAATTTTAAAATCTTAGTCTTTCAGCATTTGTATTTTATCCATCCCCAGCATAATTAAGGAGGAGAAAGGACTCTTTTCCAGTTTGGTTTTTAAAAATGGCTGTGTCTCAGTTATTTATTTATTATTTAATTTTAAAGACAAACTCCAAATTGAAGTGGTTCTAAGGTAAATCAGATGTGGTTTTAATTTGTTTTAGTTTCTTCATTAGGTCTATGATGGAAGGTGACCAGTGTCACCACTTCTAAAATCTTGTCCTAAACAAACCACACATTTTATATCAGCTCATGACTAGCTGTTCTAAATCTGTTGTATGTTAGACATACTATGAACTACCTCTTCACTTATTATGGGGAAGTTTCCTTAATAAAAGTGTGACAATTAAAACTCTGGTGTCAATGGTTTACTTTCTTTTCTCTCCCCTCCTGCTTTTTCGGTTTCTTGAATATGAATCCAGTATACTTATTCTTTAAAGCACATTAATCAAATATGCTGAATATACTTTCAGAAGGAAATATGAGTTAACCAAAATTAGTTATTACTGGAATCGGCTATTTCCATGAGAATTGGCTGAGAGGTAAAGCAGCTGTTTTTAAAACTGGTTCAGACATTTTATGCCTACTAAGTACTAAACTTTAGGAAAGCAAAATCAGTAAGTACTATCTTAAATACCTCCTGTATGGGACACAAATATCAAAACAGGTATGATAAATGCAGTATTGATGGCAGACAAATGGATTATAGGAGTGGGAACCAATTAGGATAAGTGGGAAGAAATGCTTTGCATGGTTAAAGCCGCTGCTTCTATCCCCAGTTCTTTTGGGGCTGGAATGTAGCTAGATAGTCTTGCCTATCAGGAGCGAGGCTCTGGATTTGATCCAGCACAGCAAAAAAAGAAAAAGATTGACAGACCAAAGAGGGTGGGCACTGGGAAGTGGACTTGAAACTTATCTTGCTATCTTCAGACTTTGGGCCCAGATCGTGATGGCATTAGTTAGGCAATCTTGAATACAGATCCTTACGGTAGTTTCTCCTTTCCTCTGCCACTTTTCAAGAAGTAAATGGCCTCGTAAAGGGAAACCCCGCCCCGTAATAATCCGCAAGGACCCTCCACAGGTTCCGGCGTTGGGTACTGGAACGCACGTGCCGTGACCCAACTTCATACTCGTCTCCTACATGGATGTTGGGGAGGACTCACGAAGGGGAATGGCTCGCGTTCCGAAACTGGGAAGAAGAAAGGAGGCTCGCCGGCATTTGGGTGCTTTTCTGTCGTTCCAGGAGGTAGGGGGTCTGAGGAAAAGTCTCAGATGTCCTTCCGGGGCGCCCAGGCGGCTCCCCGAGTGAGCAATAAAGCTGATTGACACCGGATGTGTTTCCTCCTAGGCTAAGTCCTCCTTCCGGCCCGGCCGCCGCTACCGCGGAAGCCTCAACACCGGTTTTCAGGGTCGGTAAGTGAACGCCAAGGCGATTCGCCAGGTGTCGAGGCCTGAAGAGGAGGAGGAGGGCGGCAGTGCGCGACCCCCGAGAAGCTAATCGGGTGCTGTAGTGCCTCGGCCGATAGGGACTTGGCCCCGGAAAACTTGGCTCTTGCTGTACGCGGAGCCGGAGGGATCGTCCGGGCCACCGTGATCCAGCGCTAGGTCCACAGTGTTGCCTGACCTCTTCCCCCTCCGTGGCAGCTCCTATGCTCACGGAGAAACGTGGAGGAATCAGGCGTCTTCTCGTGGTGCTCTGAGAGCGACTGACCCTGTGGGAGGAGTCACTGTAGTCTCATTTGTTTTAGGTTTAAAGGAGCCTAATCACGAGCTGGAAACGCGAAAGTAATAACTATGCAGAGGTGTATTTAGGTGTTTTTATCTGAGCGATTATGAAGAATTTAATATCTAAGGAACTTAAGAGTATGATTAGTAGAGGGAGATCAAGATGTAAAAGTGAATTAGGCTTAAATAGCGAAGGATCGTGCATTCTTTTTAAGAACCTAAAGGCCATCCTGGAGTTAAAGGAGAGCAATGGATGACTTAAATCAGAAGTTTTTTTGTTGTTTAATTTATGATGATGATGTTAATTCGGGTGGAAATCAGGAGGGTTATACAAGAGATTGTTAATGTTGAGGAAGCCTGGGGGAAAACATTACAATGATCCATGTGAACAGGGCTGAGGAACTGTAGTAGTCGTGGGGAACAGAAGGTCTGTACATAAAAGTTTCTAATTTGGGATATCATGCTAAGTGTAGTTTTTTTGTGATCACTTTGCCTATTACTGGATACTAAAAATTGAGTGTTCTTGATCACAAGGCACATAAAATTTAGCCAATATGAGAAATGTGTCTTGAGGTCATAGACAAATGCATTATACTTTTCTGGATTTTGAGATGGTGATATAGAGGTTCACTCTTAGCACCCAGAGTACAATTTGGGGTTTTTTTTTCCATTTCAGCTTTGGGTTTTGGAGAGGAAGAGAATTATTCTTACTATCATAGTGGGAGGAAGCGTTCCTTATCCTTATATCAATGTTTGTGTTTTATTCTGCTTAGATTTTGACCATGGCTGCTGAGTCTGATGTTCTGCACTTCCAGTTTGAACAGCAAGGAGATGTGGTCTTGCAGAAAATGAATCTCTTGAGGCAGCAGAATTTATTTTGTGATGTATCAATTTATATTAATGACACTGAGTTCCAGGGGCACAAGGTGATATTGGCTGCTTGTTCCACTTTCATGAGAGATCAGTTTTTACTCACACAATCAAAACATGTCAGAATCACCATTCTGCAAAGTGCAGAAGTTGGCAGAAAATTGTTGCTCTCTTGCTACACTGGAGCACTTGAAGTAAAAAGGAAAGAGCTTTTGAAATATTTGACTGCTGCCAGTTACCTTCAGATGGTTCACATTGTGGAAAAGTGCACAGAAGCTTTGTCAAAGTATCTGGAAATTGATCTATCTATGAAAAACAACAACCAACACGCTGACCTATGTCACTCTTCTGATCCAGATGTTAAGAATGAAGAAGAAAGTTCTGATAAGGACTGTGAGATAATTGAAATTTCAGAAGATAGCCCTATAAACATAGATTTCCATGTTAAACAAGAGGAAGACAATGTGTTACAGACCACAGTAGAAAGCTTGACATCAGAGAGAAAGGAAATTAAGTCACCAGAGCTATCCCCAATAGATGTGGGTTTTAAAGACAATGAAATTTGTATCCTTCATGTAGAATCTATCAGTACAGCTAGTGGAGAAAATGGGCAGTTTTCACAGCCTTGTACCTCATCAAAAGCAAGCCTGTATTTCTCTGAAACACAGCATTCATTGATTAATTCTACAGTGGAGAGCAGAGTGGCAGAAGTTCCTGGGAATCAAGGTCAGGGTTTATTTTGTGAGAATACTGATGAAAGTCATGGTACAGCAAGTGAGATTCAGAACCTAGAGGAGAGTTATTCACTGAGGCACCAGTGTCCCAGGTGTCCGCGAGGGTTTCTTCATGTAGAAAACTACCTGCGCCACCTTAAGATGCATAAACTCTTCTTGTGTTTACAATGTGGGAAAACATTTACACAGAAGAAAAATCTTAACCGGCACATTCGAGGGCATATGGGCATTCGGCCCTTTCAGTGTACTGTGTGCCTGAAGACCTTTACTGCTAAAAGCACTCTTCAGGACCACTTGAACATACACAGTGGGGATAGGCCATACAAATGCCATTGTTGTGATATGGATTTCAAGCACAAGTCTGCTCTCAAAAAGCATTTAACCTCCGTTCATGGCAGAAGTAGTGGTGAAAAATTATCTAGACCTGATCTTAAAAGGCAAGATCTGCTATAAATGGAATCATGGACTTCCTTTGTAAACTTTGTATCATTCTCATAGGTTTTAGAAATGCAGTATTTGTAATAATTTTATTGTTCCCCATCCCTTCCCCTTTTATGTCTGCCTCACATGTTATTCTTTCTGAACTTCTGGCAGTTCAAAAAAATTGTGAGAGGCATGAAAAAGTTATGGGACTTGTCTTGTCATGTATGTTACATATAAGTCCCAGTGGTACACTTTGAGAAATAGTGTTTTACTTAAATATTTTTTATTCTGATGACCGAGGATCCGACAGTATTTGCATATTCTGATTTGTAGTGTCTAGATAATTAATTTAAATGTTAAATCCAACTATATAATAACTTTAATTAATAAGAATGATGAAAGAAAATAAATTTTAAAATGCACTATTATTCATTACTAGTCATTTTTTTTTAAGAACAGGTATTACTAGGAACATTTTTCCTTTTCTGCTAAACAAACACCAAGATACCTATTATTTTAAATTATAAAGGAACACAATTCAGATTCACTTTGGAATAGAATTTCCTTAGAAAATGTTAAATTCCTTAAAGTACTTTCATTTTTATTATCATTATACATATTTTAGAATAATTAATGGGGCTATTGATTTTACTTAATACAGTTAAATCATAATTTTTAAGTTTTTGTATCACCACTGCCATTGGAATATAGAACAGTTCCATCACTTCCCTTATCTTATTCATGCTGCTCTTTGTGGTCAGTTCTTCCTAGCTCTAAACCCTGGCCGTAGTTCTTCATCACTATAATTTTGTCTTTTCTGGTATGTCAGATAAATGGAATCTTAGTATATTCCCTTTTGAGACTTTTTTCCACGCAACATAATGCCTTTGAGGTTCATTCATGCACGTATCAATTTTCATTCCCTTTTTCCTTTTTAATTGTCAATATATTTTAGTTGTTACTAGATGAATGGTTTAAATGTGAATAGCTGCTAGTGTTAATTATTAGTGATGATATTTTCATTTAATGCATTTTTTATCTGCTCTTTAAACAAAAATCTTACCCATTCTTAGAGTTTTATTTGATATTTCCAGAAAAGCAAAACCATATAATTACTATAGTAGGAGTAATATTCTGAGTCAGCTCTCTTAATGTCCCTGCCTACATATAATACAAAACTTATGTTCGTTGTCATAACAAAGATCAAAATATATCACAGGGCAAATCACCTCCTCTAAAATGCAGGAACTACTTTTAGTAAAGAAGCCTGACTGGACAAATTTAACTTTCAGGCTGTTCTATGCTTTTTCTACTTACCTCAGCTTTATGTAAAATTTCTACTGTAATTAATTTCTATTGATGTCCTGTATTTTAAAACATAATATACTTTGTACCACTTATAAGAATTTCATGAAGAATCATATTGATTGTTATAAATGTAAAATATTGTTTTTGTGATACTTGTGTGGGAAAGATACTCTCCATAGAATTTTACTCTGGGGGGAGACTTTAAAGATTCTAAGTCTCATATTTGATGAGAAAAACTGACTTTATTACCCAGGTCACTAATTAATAACATTGGGCAGGTCACCTGTCCTTTAATGTTCTTTAATTTTATATATAATAATTTTGGTCTTGATAATTTGTAAGATCATTTCCAGGTCTAAAATTGCATATTATATTTAATTCTATTTGAGAACTGAGAAAAAAGGAAAGCAAGAGAGGAGAGTTTTGTGTCTATGAATGTTGCTATATAAATACTCCATTGGATACAGAATTTTTCTAAAGTAGTGTTTTTCTTCCACTGGATAAAATAATACTTCAGTGCTTAATATTCTTTCCCATTTGAGTAAGTGACCATTTATAGTTGTGAAAGTATTTCCCTTTCAGGAATAGTTTGTGTTTGAAGTACTTATTTTTCCTTACTAGGATAAAATTTTGAAGGGGAGGGCTCGGGATGGGAAGAGAGAGTAAAATAAACTGAATTTTTTTAGGAATTGGCATTTACTATCTTGGATGTTTGAGAAAAATTTGGTTGAAAATGTTTAGGTTTATGTGTGCCTTATAAAATTGTTGTAAAATTTTTTTGTGAGCACTTTGAGATTTTTGCTTTGGGGGAAGGGTGTTTTGTAAAAGTGATGGTTGTTATTTATATTATTTATTCCTGTTAACTAGAACAGAGTGATCTTAAAACATTCCTAGGAGAGTATGTTTGCATGGTGTGTCTTAAAAGTTGCAGGTGAATGGAATCGTTTTTAATATGTAGGCATGGCAAAGCAAAGTGCAGAATTTCTTCATTTAAAATATTCACTTTTAGTTGATTCTGTTTTTGATAAGATAAAATTATTTGTGAACAGCTTTTTTTATTTACTGCATTTATAAATATAAAAGACCTTGAAAGGTAGTTGTTACTTTGTTGTAAGAGAAAATCCTTGCTGTTTTTCCTTGATGTAACTAGCTTTTATGTTTACATAAGAAATAATAAAGTGGAGGTGGGAATAGAGAACTTTGCGTCTTGCCTATGTCCATGAATTTTAGGTTACAATTTCTCCTATTTAATCATTTACTCTAAAAATACCTATTGAGTTTTTAATTATCTGTACTAGAATCTGTGTGTAAAAATAAAAATCCCTGTACTCATGAAACTTTTATTCTAGTGGAAGGAGACAAACAGTAAACAAGTAGAATTAATGTATGTCAAATTTTGAAAACGGGTTTGAAGATAGAGATAGGAAGTCTAGGGAAAGTGGGTTGGGATTGTTATATGTAGTGATCAGTATACTTTTGAAAAATCAGGTATATTCCATCGTCTGTGGAATAGAAATAATTGTGTATATACATGTATGCATATATGCATATGTATTTACATGTTTATGTGCATATACCCACAAATATATGTCTTCACACGCATGTCTTCCATAGAATTGAAAAATACAATAGGTTGGAAAGCAAGTATATAAATACAATCACCCATCACTCTCCAGTTGAAAATATAAAAATGAATTGCTGATTGTTGGGAACATTTATTTTGGATTGTTATATATTCCATATAGCAAAGTGAATTAAAAGATAACAACATATACATAAAAGTCTGATGAGGGCCAATGAATTTTTCCAAAAGCGCTGATCTTGTCATCAGGCAGTAATAGCCATGTTTTTAAAGCTCATTATATAACATTTTGCGTATTTTAATTAATGTTTGGTTTACTTCCATAGAACTTTTTGATGGACATCTAGTTCCACATTGAAGGAGTTCAGGGTTTTCTCTTTAATAAGATTAGAGAGGTGTAAGTGTCTGCCAATTAAACTTTTTCATTTTGGTGTTTTTGTTTTGTGATTGGCAGATTACGTGGTACCAATGTGAAAGAATTGAGGGATCCGCTCAGCGGATTACAGGAGAATGAAGTAGAAAGTAACACGGGTGTATAAGATTCTGTTCAAAGAACACGCTTCGTGGTGGGAGACTGACAGTACAGTACCTCACGACAGTGTCTAGCCGGCGCAGATGAATGCACAGGGATTTTCCCATCAATCCCTTCGCCTAGCCTAGAATTCATCACAGCAGTCCCACAGTGCTCCGGGGCCTCCTCGTCACGTGATGAGGGTGGATTGGTTAGCCCAGAGAGAAGCCAATGCGCAGTTTAGGTGGCAGGGACTACTAAGCTTCTCTTTCACCTCACCAACTCCCGGGCTTGCGTAATCTCGCGTGTACTGGAGAGAATCTTCTCGCGAGAGCTAAGTCGGGATCCCTCCAGGTCCGCCTCCGTGGTGAGGAGGAGGAGGAGGAGGAGGAGGAGGAGAAGGAGGAGGAGGCGGAGGGTGGAGGAGGAGGAGGCCCCGCCGCGGCCTTCGCCGCCGCCAACGGGGCTGTCCCTGTAGCTCCCGATGGAGTTTGAGGCCGTGAAACCGCCGCCGAGCTCTGCCCCGGCGAGACGAGGCGCCTCCGTCGCCGAGCCGCGCCGTCGCGGGGCTCCCGGGAGCGGCCCTTAGCGACCCCGCCCGGGCCCCCTCAGGTAGGGCGGGGGCGGGCACGATGCGGCTCGGGCCCCAGCCCGGTGCCAGGTCCCCAGCGGTCGGGCGGGAGACCGGTCTCAACCCGGGGGCCTGTGCACTGCTGCTGCCGGAACCCCGAGGGTTGGGAACTGAGGGCCGCACCTGACACTCGGACGGAACCCTGGGCCTGAGGAGGCCCCTGTCTCGGGTAGGGCTTTTTCGATGCGGAGCGACCGGCTCAAATGGCCACCTTCCTCCAATACTGGCCGAGAGGACGCCTCTGACCACTAAGGAACCCACCCAAGCGAAGGCCAGGTTTCCCTCTCCCTTTCCTCCCCCAGTTAGTAAGAGAGGGCTTTGGAAGAGGTCCTCGAAATCTGGTCCTCTTCTGGCTTTTCATCTTGCTGCCCTGGGGCTTCCGGAGACCCTCGCGCAGGGATGGTGGAAGCGATGTGAGTGGTGTAAATAGGGACCTTGGCCAAACAATGCCCTGCGAGGGCTTAACCTCCCTGGAGGGAGATGGCCCGACCTGAGTGATTGCACAGAGGATCTGACTAGAAGCAATGGCATGAAACACAGCCAGGGAATTCTGCTATGGCTTTCTTTTTTCCCCCTTTCATATTTTTTTTTCCTTGGGGAAGCCTCTTGAGAAGACTCTTCCACCATCTTAGAAGAATGGTAGAGAGCATCTTTGTTTCTCAGAGAAGCAGCTTTACTTTTCTCTATCCTTAGCTTTCAGGAAGGAAAGAGATGAGGGTAGCTGTCATTTCCATCCTTCAGATCACCAGTTTAAGGTATCTGCAGATAGAATCTTCACACCAAAATAGTCTCAAGTAATCCCTGACATAAAGTAGATCTAGTCCAGTGATTCTCAACCCTTTTTATATTTTCGTAAAACCCACCTGGATTCTCATTTTAACTCCTACTGTCCTCTTACCTAGGTCCATTCTTTGTTATTTCTACTCGTTCTCCACCCACTGTGATCAGAATGACTTTGTATCCTAAATAAAGTGCTTAAATCATTTCCATTTTTGTGTTAGTCAAAACTTTTAAGTTCCAATAGGAACTTTTGATTAACCCGAGAAAGCTAATATTGCTAGACCGAAGTGATATAATTTCACCCAAAAGCAAAGAAAAATTAGTTTGTGCAGTCTTTTTATAGTTAAATATGTACAGAACTTAGTTGAGGCTTTTTGAATCATTAAGTGTAGTGCATGGATTCTCCTGTTTTCACCTTCTTTTTATCTAGTTTAAAGTTAAACTAACATCCCTGTCTTAATGTTGTTTACTTTCACATCCTACTAAATACTGTTCTTCACTATTGCCTCTTTTTTTTTTTTGATTTGGAGATTTATTTTTTCCAAATTCTGGAGTTTGGAAAATTGCTAGAAGGGCAAAATATTAAACATAACATTCCACTCTCGTTTAGAAAAAACGGATGTTATAATTCAAGCAGGCTTTTTTATTCTCTGATGATCTGATTGCAGTTGTGTTCATTAGGGGATCCTTTGAGTTACTACTGATCTGTTATTACTGTTGTGTAACCTGACATGTAAGAAGACTTATGTCCTTTGTTCATATTTTCATTAATTCCCATTCTGCTTTTGTAATTTGCAGTCTTCCACTGACAGAGCATTTTTCTTTACACAGGATTTATATTCACATATAGAACATAAACTGTGATAGGTAAAAGTGTTAAATAAACTTATAAGAAGTTGTAATAAGAACTTGCTTATTGTTTTGGTTAGACTCATTGAAATTTCACTTCCTAATGTTGGAAAAAGGAAGCATGTTGTAAAAATAAAGCTAGTTGAAAAATTTTTTAAATTGATGTTTGGCACCCAGTCTCATGTCTGTTTTAAGTTACATCTTTCTGATGAGGGCTTTTTAATTTTATGAATGCCTTAATAGTGACTTTCATCTCAAATTTTTTCATAGAAAGTAGTTTTGAGTATTTCTTTATAATCTTTAGTAATCCTGAGTTGCTCTGTCCATTACTAACCAGTAAGCTACATGTGGAAATTGAGAACTTTTGAAGCTGTGTGAATTGAGATGTGCTATAAGTATAAAAAACACAGATTTTCAAGACTTAATACTAAGTTCTTTTTTAATATTTCAATAATTTTTTCTTTTTGTCTTTTATATGGTAGTTGGTATTGAACTCAGAAACTTTCTACAAATCTCTGAGCTACATTCCCAGACCTTTTTATCTTTCATTTAAAGATAGGGTCTCACTAAGTTGCCCAGGCAGGTCTTGAACTTGGGATGGATCCTCTCACCTCAGTCTTCTGAGTAGCTGGTATTAGAAGGGTATAATAGTAGCTGGTATTTATACTGAATACATGATCATATTTTAGATAAGTTGGACTAAATAAAACATTAATAAACTTAATTTCACTTTTTTTTTCATATGACAAGATTTTAAATTACTTGCTTTTTTGTTGTTTATTTTGGTTTTGGGGATTGAATAGCCTTGCATATGCTGAACATTTACTCTTATCACTGAGCTACACCTCTAACACCTTGCATTATGTATTTATTGGACATTGCTTTTCTAGAGGAATACTACTTTTTCAAGAAATAAATTAACTAAATAAAAGTAAACATATGGGTTTGGGGATATAGTCAGTAGTATATTGCTTTCCTTGCATGTGTGAGACCCTGGGTTTTATCCCTAGAACTGCAATCAGTCAATAAATGTAGATATATGAAAACCAAAAGTAGATACATGAAAACCTGACAGAGTATACTCTTATAATTAGAAAAATCAAAGAGCTAAAGACTTTGGTAATAAGAAAGTTATCAAGTGGCTATTATTTGATAGGCAGAAACAAATACCTAAGTTCCTTTTCAAAAATAATCCATCTTTGAAGTCTAGCCATCACTAAAGAAGCAAAACTTTATTAGTTGGAATAGAAATTTATCTCATTGGGGCTGGGGGTGTGGCTCAGTGGTAGAATGCTTGCCATCTACAAATAAAAAAAAAATTAATAGAAAAAAGAAAAAAAATTACCTTATTATTTCCCTATTAAAAGGCATTGAAAGTTATATCATATACTTAAAGAACTGAGTTTCAACCCCGTAATTGATTTAAGAAATAAAACATGAGTCTTACATATTTATAAGTTAAAGTCACATATAATCACAGTGTTTATAATTCAGTATCTTTTTCTTCAATCCTTTTGATGTGTTTGGGTGCTGAGTTTTAGAGTTTACAGATTATTTCGATTGTTTTTTGTTTCTTTGCTTGTTTTTTAGGTTAAGACCTAGATTGTGCTTCTGGTGCTTTAAATATAATTTTAAGTCCAAAGGTAATTATTTTAAAGTTTTCTAAATTGACAAGTATTGTTATCCATTTTATAGTTTATAATCCTCACATGTGTTAACTAGAATGAAAAAACAATGATTGTTTTAATTTACACACCTGAGCCCCAATGTTTATATTTTTATAAACAGAATTATAAAATAATATGCATGTATGTATATGCATGTACATAAATTATATATACACACACAGTGAAAAACATGTAAACTTTACTCTGACATTTTGAAATCAAATGCCATGGTCTTGAACTGGCTGCATAATATGGTGGACTAATAACAGAAAATGAAAGTGCTTAGCTGGTATGCAGTTTGCTCTTAATAAAGCAGTTTGTAATTTGCATCATGAGAGATGTCTATTCCTATTTTATGTCTCTTCTTATTTTATCAGTTAGCCCTCATAGCAAGGAACTTATGGCTTAGAAAATTATGTGAGGGAAAATTTGTTTAAGGTTGCACCCCTACTTTAGCATTTCTTTGTTTTGTCTTATTGTCCTTCAGTGTTAGAAGCTAGTAACTAAAATTAGTTATTACAAAAGATGGAATGTTTTTCTTAAGTAATCTAGTAATCTCTACAGTCTTTAGGGACAAGGACTTTTATCCATTTTATCCCAACTTGAAATGTTTTAGGAGTATATTTAAGATGAATACTTCAGTGTTAACTATAAATGTTAATAGCAGTTTAGACTTCCATAGAGTCAAATAAATCCCATAAAATGTGCTAGTATATGGGCTGGGGATGTAGCGTGCTCGCCTGGCATGCCGTGTGGCCCGGGTTCAATCTCAGCACCACATACAAACAAAGATGTGTCTGCTGAAAACTAAAAAATAAATATTAAAAAATTCTCTCTCTCTCTCTCTCTCTCTCTCTCTCTCTCTCTCTCTCGTAAAAAAAAAAAAAAAGTGCTAATATAAACCTAGAAGGAATTCAAATTAACATATTCTTAGCTCTCTATGGCTCGTTCATATGCTTTTTTAAAAGAACTATTAGGAGAATACAATATCAATCATTTGGGGTAGGTATAAAAACATTTTCTAGGTAAATTACAATTACCATTTTTTTTTTGAGAGAGAGAGAGAATTTAAATTTTTTTTTTTTTTTTTTTTTTTTTTTTAGTTTTCGGCGGACATAACATCTTTGTTTGTATGTGGTGCTGAGGGGCGAACCCCGGCCTCATGCATGCCAGGCGAGCGCGCTACCGCTTGAGCCACATCCCCAGCCCCTACAATTACCATTTTTAAAGCCCAATTTTGTCCTCACTAATCAAACATTTTAATGGACTATGTAAGTTTTTTCTGTATTTCAGATAAAATTTTATTTGTTTTTGTCTTGAGCAATCTAATTTATTGATAATGGTAATGAACAAAAACAATTTTTTTAAAAAAATCAAAAAATTCATTATATCAAGTTATTTAAGGAAAATGTAGTTCATAATTTTGTTGTCAAAAAGTTAGAATCTGACATATAGCAGGAGGCAAATTTGGAATTATTAGGAATTATTTGGAATAATTAGGAATTATTACCCAAACTTTGTTAGGTTTTTTTTTTTGTTTTTTCCCCCCAGTTCTGGAGATTAAACCCAGGGCCTCCCACATGCTAGGCAAGTGCTCAAACTATCAAGTGTATTCTTGAATACAGTAGTTGGAAAACTAAAGAAAGAGTATTTGCCCTGTTTCCCATTACCCAGTGGACTGAGACACCCTAATCCACAAAATTAACATTTCCAAATAATAACTTTTTCCATTGTGGAAAAAGTTTGTTAGTTCAAGTTATTAACTGACTTGAGGCTCTCAATAGTAGATTTAAGACAAAATTAATTTTTGCTTAGATTTACAAATTTTCCCTGTATAATTTTACAATAAAGGAAACTGAATATTAAATACGTTAGTTTTAGGAAGTTATCAGTTCACCTACTTAGGCCTCATTTCTAAACTTGGAATCATAATTACTGATTTTTAGATTGCTGGTTTAATCAGTATGACAATGTGAAGGTGACTGGTGTAAAAATAAATTGTAATTTATAAGATTTGCATTAGAACTTTGAGAAAAAGTTTATATAGGGTGCTTTTTACATAGAAGACTGTTTTACCAATTTTTAGTCTCAGTTTTTGTGAACATAAAAACACAAGGCTAATTAGAGGGGATGGAGAATGGCTCCGTGGTAGAGCCCTTGCCTAGCATGTGTGAGGCACTGGGTTCGATTCTTAGCACCACGTAAAAATGAATAAATAAAACAAAGGTATTGTGTCCATCTACAACTAAAAAATTTTTTAAAGGTTGGGGGACTAATAGAATTCATTTTTATTTTGGAATATTGGGGAATGCTTTCAGTTATCTACTTTTCTATCCTGAGTTTAACTGCATTTTTAAACTTCTAATTTCTGTGTAATTAATATATCTGGGTTGGTAAACACTCCTATGAAATAAAGTATTAGCTCTTTAATTGCCCTAAATACCTAGATTTCTTGTTCACCAGAGAGCCTTTGTCAGACTTACATAAGATTTGAATTGAAAAATACAGAAAATTTGTGAAATGTAAAGTTAGTGTAATCTTATTTTGCTAAAAATTATGAAGCAGATTTTAATCTTAGAAATAAAATTCTCTTAATTATTTTCTAGTGCTTTTCCAGTTTTAAATCATATTCATATCACTTTTTCTGAATTTATAATCATAGTAAAGATAGAAATTTATATTTTGCATATATTCTGCTTAGAATTATTAGGTAAGAATAGTGTTTCATTTTCCTGATCTTTCTTACTGTACCTGACAGGTTTTATTTCTACTGATCAATCACTAAATAATAAAGTTTTGTTAGAAGTATTATAGTGAATTACTACAAAGTTTTTAAAACAATATTTTCTTTGTTTTACTTTGGCACCATACTATTTAGTCAACATTCTTTCATTTATGGACAAACAACTCTGTCATCACAACCTTCTCTTACATGTAGATTTTTTGTTACCTCAGTTAGCCTCTGAGTTAAGTCCTGACCAAGGATTTCCTCTTTCAGATGACCAGGCTGCCTCCTTTACATTTGATTTGACTATAATATTGTTTTTATCAATAGTTTTCAAAGCTTACTAATTCTTAATTATCTTAATTCTTATCTTAATATGTATTGGGTTAGTGGTAATCCAAGAAAAAGCACTTAAATTTTTTTTAACTCAACAAACCAAAATGATTTAAGAAAAATACATAGAAGTTTTGATGAGCAATCAAAATTGTGTGAGCAATCAATATGGAGTGTAGTTGAAAGGATCTCTAGTAGTGAATTATTTGGGGGCAACATTAACACACAGTTTTGTTTTTTTTTAAAAAAAGCATCTAAAGCATATAAAACTATTAAGAATTTCAGGTTCTGAAGCTGTGAGAATTGACTCTAGCAGTTAACTCTTGAAAGGAGAATAATGAATATGTAGTAAATTCTTACTTTTGTCCATTTCCAGCTTACAAAACACTACACAGCAAAATAATGATCTGCTAGACTGCTAACCCGAGCATCCAGCTTCCACAATGCCTGTGCAGGCAGCTCAATGGACAGAATTTCTGTCCTGTCCAATCTGCTATAATGAATTTGATGAGAATGTGCACAAACCCATCAGTTTAGGTTGTTCACACACTGTTTGCAAGACCTGCTTGAATAAACTTCACCGAAAAGCTTGTCCTTTTGACCAGACTGCCATCAACACAGACATTGATGTACTTCCTGTCAACTTCGCACTTCTCCAGTTAGTTGGAGCCCAGGTAACTTTCAGTACCTCACTAATTTAGTATCTATTGTAATCATCAAACATTGTTTATTATTGGGTATAAGATGTTTAGTGATACAAAAGACATAAACGTGGTCAATGTATGTGCTTTTCATGATTTTAATCTTTAAAAAGATACCTTTATATAATAAATTCTTATATAAAATCGTGAATTCATTTATAGGTATGTATTTTTTTTTTCCTTCAATGTTCTGGTCAAAATTTATGTGTATAAGTGGTTTGGGTAATGAGAAATACTTTACATATACATACATAATATTTATTCGTTAGGTGGAAAATATAAAAGTTCTGGCCAGAAACCAATCAACTAGAACCCTGAGATGAAGTTTGTTTTTTTGTTTGTTTGTTTTTTGTTTTTAAGTTTAATTGATTTAAGATAACATAAATGAGAAAATAAGTTTTATTTAGGGGTGTGTGTGTTTGTGTGTGTGTGTGTGTGTGTGTGTGTGTGTCCATGTCTGAAAAACCTATTAATAGGGTGTCAGTAACAAATTATGTTCAGTGTCTTGAACACATGTACTATGGAATGAATATTTTGTGTTATAATCATAGTATTGCATCAGAGCAAGACCCTAGATTTATTATAATAACTTTCATTTAATGAGGGTATACTCTTATAAATGATGGTAAATATTTATTATCTTTTATTACTCATATCACTACTCTTATCATAGCTCTTTAGGTGGTTATTATCCCCATTTTACAAGTAAGGAAGAAGATAAAATTTTGTACATTATATGCTATATATTAAAGCAAGAAAATAAGGATTTTTCTGATTTATTAGAAAATTTATTTAAAAATTCAAACTGAAAATATTCTATTTGTTCCCCTTAGTATCTTGATATTTGCACTTTTTCTTTTAAAGCACAAAATCTATTTTCAGTGTTAATAATCAGGTTTGACACTCTGAAATCAAGGTGACTCTATAATGATGCTACAATTTAATTGGTAGCATATTTTTCTTAGTGGAGCATAAACTAATATTGCTTCATGCAAATGGTGGCATTTTAGATTCAGTAAAATACATGGACTTTTTGTAATAGTAGCTACCATTTATTTAGAATCTACTATAGATCAAGTATTTTGTTAATGTTCCTTATAAGTGTTATCTCTGTTGATCCTTAAATAGCTTATTACAAGTCTGTGCAATGTGACTTCTATTTCTTCAACCTCATCTACCACTGTCTTCTTACATTGGCCTCCTAAGCCAGTTCTCAAATATGCCTAGCATATTACCAGCTAGGGCTTTTGTAGTGATTTATTTTTGCCTAGAATGTTCATTCCATCTTTTTACATCTTTATTTAAAATGTTATCATTCTCAAGGAAGCCTGTCATGACCACTCCAATTAAAATTGCAACCCTTTTCCAACATTTTCTTCTTATCATTGCTGTGTAATTTCACTACTTTCTAACACCATACATATGTGTGTGTGTGTGTGTGTGTGTGTGTTTTAATTTACTGACTCCTTTTCACTAGAGTATAAGCTTCACAAAACAAGAAATTTTCTGTTTTGCACACCAAAACAAAATTTTAGACACCTAGTATCTAAAACTGTGCCTGGAACGTGAGTACTCCATGAATATAAATATTTGTTGAATTAAGTTGAACTTTCATAAAGGTACCATAAAATATGGATATCTGTCTTCATTTTGCAGATATAGAATTTATGACAAAGAACAGTTAAATAACTTTCTCAAGATTTCTCAGAGGTGGCAGAGCTGCAATTTTTACCCAAGTTTTTGACCTTTTTAATTCTTGCATTGCAATGCTGGGGATCAAACCCTTGGTCTCACACATGCTAGGCAAGCACTCTACCACTGAGCTATATTCCCCCAGACCCCAGAGTTTGACCTTTGAGAACACTGCCTTGTGGTTCTTATGTTCTAGCAAAGGGAACAGATTATAAATTCTAAAACCTAACAAATAATATAGCAAAGTGGTGCTTAGCAAATTGCTATGGGGAGAAAATTCATGCATTCTTTCTTATTTTTTATTTTAGACTTACTAAAAGTGTTATTTTAAAAATGGTGTACAGGGGTCCTGCATAACTTTCCATGGCTTTCTCCTAGTGTTAACATATTTCATAATTATAGCACAGTTATCAGCCTCCTGAAATTAACATTAATGACTATTAGCTAGTTGCCCCCCCACACACACACATTAATCTACTTAGCCTCTACAATTATGTATGATAGCCTTGGTTTTTGGAAAGCAGTTTGGCTAAGTGATTAGCTTAGCTAAAGTTTTTCTTAAATCACTTTGATGTATTATCTCTTTTATAATTTTGTGCTCACTAAGATTATTATCAAGTATATAAATAACAATTACATGAGCTGGATAAATGTATTTCTGCAATTTTTCATTCTTTAAGGTACCAGATCATCAGTCAATAAAGTTAAGTAATCTAGGTGAGAATAAACACTATGAGATTGCAAAGAAATGTGTTGAGGATTTGGCACTCTACTTAAAACCACTAAGTGGAGGAAAAGGTAAGTTCATTAAAAGCATTTTTACTGGTTAAGAGGACTTGTTAAATATAAGTGTTGAGCGTGTGTAATGTGCCTTCATGGAGCCTATAGACTACTGAGGGAGATAGGTGTACAAGTGTAATAAAGTATTTTAAGTGCTGTGACAAAAAGTGGAATATTAATTTTTGTTTATCACTACATAGCCAGTGAGGGGTATATTATAGGTATAATAGATAGTAAATGAATTTATCTTGTACCTGGAGAAGATTGTGAATTAAGTGCCAGTCACTGTTCTGGTGTTTGGCATACTTTAGTAAGTGCAACAGAAAAATATACCTGCCTGTAAACATATCACTTATATTTTAGAAAAGCAAAAGACTATAATAAAAAAAGATTATATAGTATAGGTGAAAACTGATATAAAAGAAAGCAGTTAGAAGATTTGGCAATGTCAGAGTCAGAATAGAAGGACAAGATTGTCTAGTATAGACCTCATTGAGATGGAGTCTTTTAAGACAGGTGTGGTGTCCCAGCAGCCTGGGAGGCTAAGGAGGATCGAGAGTTCGAAGCCAACCTCAGCAAAAGTGAGGCGCTAAGCAACTCAGTGAGATACTGTCTCTAAATAAAATACAAAATAGGACTGGGGATGTGGCTCAGTGGTAGAGTGCCCCTGAGTTTAATCCCTTGTAACCCCCCAAAAAAGAAGGTAGCTTTTGGACTTGAAATGAAGTGAGAGAGGTGAGATAATTAACCATGTAGTTTCTGGATAAAAAGGACATAGCTTAGTGGTAGAGCTCTTGCCTCACATGCATGCAACCCTGGGTTCAATCCCAGTACTAGGAATAGGAAAAAAAAAAAAAGTTTCAGGCAGAGGGACTACTGTGTGCAGCATCCTCATGTTTTTAAAGAAAAGCAAGGCTGGGGATATAGCTCAGGTGGTAGAATGCTTGCCTTGCATGCACAAGGCCCTGTATTCAATCCCAAGCACCAATAAATAAATAAATAAGTAAAGTAGAAGTTGTATGCCTGGAGGCATGTGAGTGAGGAGCAAAGCAATATAAGATGAAACTAAATGATGAGTTCAGGTGATGTACAGACTTATAGTTGGTTTAAAGACAAGCTTTTACTATGAGTAAAGTTAGGGAATTATTGCAGAGTTTTGAACAGAGCATTGATATCTGACTAATGTTAAATGATCACTGGATGCTTTATTGAGAATTCACAATAGAAGGACAAGAGCAGAAGTAGGATGATCAGTTAAGAGGCTTTTGGAGCAAGATTTGCAGCAGTGGAGGGAGTGAGAAATGCTCAATCTGGGATACATTTTTAAAATACAGGCAAGAGTATTTCTGAATTGGAATTTGAGAAGTTGTACAGAGTCAAGTATGACTCCTAGATCTTGTGGCCTGAGTAACTGAAATGTGGGTGGCCATCAGTTGTCACAGGGAATAGTAAAGTTAGATCAGGTTTAGGTAGGAAAGTCAAGTTTAGTTTTGGTCATAGTACATTTGAGATTTGTAATATTTACTTGGATGCTATCTGTAACTTTGGGAATCACTGACATATGGATGGTATTTAAAGTAACAAAACTGGATGAGGTCATTTAAGTAGTGAATTTAGATAGGAAAAATAGACTGGGTGCTGAGGTCCTTTAACATAATCAGGGGAAAAAGATGATTTTAAATCTGCAAGGAAGATTAGAAGGAAAGGAGGAGGAAGGAAGAAAACCAAAAGAATGGAGTATTCCAGAAACCAAAGAAAGTATTTATAAATACAGGAGGAAAGAGTAATTATCTGTGTTGAATATTAGTGGAAGGTCAAATATGATAAGGACTGAGAATTAACCATGGATTTACAAAGTAGAGACAATTGGGGGGAAAGAAACAAAGTAGATAATTGTCTTGTGCTCAATTCTGGTCAAGAGATAATGACAAAATCAGAGTAGGTTTTAGAGATTGTAAAGTAAGAAACTGGAAATAGTATACAAAATCTAGAGGATTTGCTACAAATGGGAAGAAAGAAATGGAGCACCACTAATGGGAAAGGAGGGATCAGTGGAAAGATTTCTTTTTTTTTTCTTGTGGTGCCAGGAATCAAACTAGGGATTGTGCATACTAGGGAAATACTATACCACTAAGCTATACCACCAGTCCTTACTTATATTTAAGATGGATGAAATAATAGCATACTTTTTCTTATTGTATGCTGATGGGAGAGAGGGAAAAATTGATGATACGTAAGAGAAGAGAATTGCTGGAGCAGTGTCCCCGAGTTAGTTCAAAGAAGTAAGATGTATGAGATTATCATTGAGCAATGTTCTAAATGTCTCAGGTACAATTTTTAAAAATTAGAACCATTATTAATCAGTCTTTATAGGTTAGAATTTTTAGTCAGGCATCTTTGAATTTATCTTGAATTGCTTTATAGTAAAGATGGAGAGAAAACTAAATAAATACAAAGTGCTGCATCTGGGTACAGACAAACCAGAAAACATGATACCTAAATAAAATCTGAAATAACTAAAAGTGAGCTGCCTTCTTATTACAAAATGGTAATAAACAGACAGTATACTCACTGTTATAAAAATAAAACTACTTACAAGGGACTCGTTAAGATTTGTGGCTAAATACAAATATAGATAATGTAATTGTTTAATTTATTGAAAAACCTTTAGTTTTCTTTGTTTCCCTTTTCTTAAAGGTGTAGCTAGTTTGAACCAGAGTGCACTGAGCCGTCCAATGCAAAGGAAACTGGTGACACTTGTGAACTGTCAGCTGGTGGAGGAAGAAGGTCGTGTCAGAGCCATGAGAGCAGCCCGTTCACTTGGAGAAAGAACTGTAACAGAACTGATATTACAGCACCAGAATCCTCAGCAATTGTCTGCCAATTTGTGGGCTGCTGTCAGGGCTCGAGGATGCCAGTTTCTAGGGCCAGGTAAGATAGCTGACTATCTTAGCATTTTTATTGGTAATTAGGGCTTGAGTAAAAAACTTGAGGATGCCAGTTTCTAAGGCAAAATTAAAATCCTGGGACTCAACCCATCTTTATACATGTATGTGTGTGTGTGGGGGGGCGGGTATTTGATTTTTAGTTGTGAAGGACACAATACCTTTATGTTATTTATTTATGTGGTGCTAAAGATCGAACATAGTGGCCTATACATGCGAGACAAGTGCTCTACCACTAAGCCACAAACAACCCCAGCCCTTATACATCTTGACATAGTTAAAGCTTTTGTTAATCATAATTTATATTATATATTACAGACTATGTAATATAATGGACTATATGACTTATGTATTATAATCTCTTATAGATAGATGGGTGACCATGTACAAATTAGAAAATTGAGCTAGAAGGAGTTTAGGATTGCATAGGTTATAAGTAAAGGAAGGTTAATTTTTTATTTTGTGTGTGTGTTGTAGGAAAAAAATATCAATCTCTTGATTATTTTTAAAAATTGGAAAATACACAAAGTATATGAAAATTAAAAGTCACCGGGGGTTAATTTCTTTATGGTTATTCTGTCTATATTCTGCTTAAGAAAACCTTTATGCCAAAGTTATGAAGTACTTCCCTGTATTTCTTCTATGTGTTTTGTTTTACCTTTCTTATTTAGAAATATAGTTTGAGCAGAATTTAATTTTGTGAAGAAAACTTTTTTTTTGCAGTACTGGGGATTGAATCCAGGGGTGTACTACACATACTAGGGTACATCTCCAGCCCTTTTTTATTTTGAGACAGTGTTGTCACTAAGTTGCTCAGAAGGGATTCAATCCTGTGATCCTTCTGCTTCAGTCTTGAGTAGTGGTGAATACAGGTGTGTGCCACTTCGCCTGGCATACAGGAAACATTTTTTAATAAGTGGGATTGGGAGAACTGGATGGACAGGTAGAAAAATAAAATTGGATGCATTCCTTATATGCTATCACTGCCTAAATTACAAATAGTTCAGAAATAGTTGTGATTACAGAGTAAATTATACAAGTAATAAAAACAAATGAAATAGGTAATTCTCTTATAACCTGGTAGGGAATAGGAACACTTTTTAAATTTTTACGCAAAATCCAGGAGCGATATTGTGTTTAATTTGCATCACAAAAAATTATAAGCGGAGTAAAAAGATAACAAGCTGGGGGAAATATTTATAAATGTCATCCAGTACATAGATTAATATAACTAATATATGAGGTTCTTCCAAATATGCAGACAGTGATCTCAGTGACTCAGGATGCTTAAACAGAAGGATCACAAGCTCAATGCTAGTCTTAGCAATTTAGCCAGACTCTTGTCTTGAAATGAAAAATAAAAAAAATCTGGGGATGAGATTCAATCCCTAGTACCAACAACAACAACTGAAAAAATTAAAATTAATTTTTTCTCAAAAAACAAAGACTAGCAATCAAATTGGAAAGATTCACAAATAGTGAAAGTAGACAAAAGATATAATATAAAAAGTAATACAAATGGCTTCAAACATATAAAAAGATACCCAGTGTTTCTCATATAAAGAAAAATGTACATTAAAGTCATACTGGAATGCCATTACTTATCCATCAAATTGGCAGAATCAAAAGTTTGACAGTGTATTCTGTTGACCAAGATGTGGGGAAACACTTTTATCCAGTACTGGTGGGAATGCAGCAAATGGTATAAACTTAAAGACAAAAATTTGGCAACATTAAGCAAAATCACCTTTATGTTTACTCTTCAGCTCAGCCATCCCATTTAAGGAGTCAATCCAAAGATACAGCAAAAATACAAAACACATAAAGTTATAAAGCACTATTTGTAAAAGCAGACATCTAGAAGTAACCTGAACATCTATAATAAGGTTCTGACTCAGTACCACTGTGGTTTATCTTTCTAGTGCAGTGCTATGCAGCTGTTGAGAGCAGTGAGGAAGGGCATGATCTCCAGATATATTTTTAAGTTAAAAAAATAAAAGCAAGGTGCAGAATAGTGTAGTATTCTATGTAAGAAAAAGAGGGAGACAGAATCTTTACCTACTTTTTTCATTTAAATCCTTCAAAAGAAACATTGGCAGGAAAAATAAAAATAATAAAATTTTGTGGAAGAAAAAAAGGTAAGAAAGGAACAGAGAATGCTGATTACCTTTTTTTGAATTTAGGAACCACATAAGTGTCTTATAAAGGTTTTAAATAAAATTTTTAAAAATTTAAAAGCGAAGCCCGACATGGTGGTGCACACCTGTAATCCCAGCAGCTTGGGCGGCTGAAACAGGATTGTGAGTTCAAAGCCACCTGTAGCAACAGCTAGGCACTAAGCAACTCAGTGAGACCCTTTCTCAAAATAAAATACAGAACAGGACTGGGGATGTGGCTCAGTGGTTGAGTGCCCCTGAGTTCAATCTCTGGTACCCGCACCCCCAAAATTTAAAAGTGATTAAAACAAAATAATATCTAAAAATATAGTTAAGGGGTTGGAGATAGATGTAGCTTAGTAGAGTGCTTACCTCGCTAGCATGCACAAGACCCTGAGTTTGATCCTCAGTGCTATAAAAATTTAATAAGGCTAAAATTTATGAAGTTAAATGCATATCCATATAGGAATAAATTATTTTAGGTGACTTTAGAACATAATATTTTGATTTCTTTATCCCTAGTGGGATGTATAAATCCTAAATTATATTCAGTGGGCCTGTTGTTCATAATTCTGGTGGTGTTATTTTGAAACTAATAAGACACGGTTGTATATAAATCAATTACATTATTATGTTAATGCCATCAGAAATCAATATTTTCAGCATTTAAAAATGATACGACTATGAAATCAGTGAAATTTAAGTAAAAACCCTGTAGTCTTAAATTAGAATTGGCAGAATTTACTCAGATTTACTTGTTTTTCTCTTCTAAAAATTGTTAATATCCTTGTCTGTCTGCTGAAAAGATTTAGAAGCAATTAATAATTAAAGCACCAAAATTGTAAGCTTGAGTAATATCAGTTCCCCCTAAAAAGAGGCAGGACTCTGAATAAATGTCTTATTCCAGTTGTAAGATGGGAAAGTAAAAGATAAACCTGGAAAATCTTGTGCTAGAAAGCAAAAAAGGTATCAGAAACTTATAGAATCTTGTTAAAAAGTCATAGACTTGAACTTGAAGAAGCTTACATTGGACATAAATGGACAATTTAGACATAAAAATGAGTGATGACGATAATGGGTTGAGTTCCTAATTGTAGTAAGAAAATATTAAGTGGTCATCTTTGGCAGTTGCTAGAGCAGTAACATAATATTCTGAAAATTGAAAGAACAAGAGTTAGAAAGAAGCTGAGCATTTTTTTTCCTGCCTTTCTTATGCAGACTATTTTAGGGATAACTCTTCTATGTTGAGGGAAGTGTCTTTTTTTAGCAGAATTCCAACTAATAAATTTAGAAGAAAAATTATAAAATTAGAAAAACCACAATTTTGCACCTCTAAATTAATTAATGGGCTTAGTCAAGGATTATTAGGGTTTGAATTTTTGTTTTTGTTTTCCTTTTTGTGGTACTGTGGAATGAATCTATGGCCTTGTGAATGCTATGCAAGCATTCTACCGTTGAGCTACATCACCAGCATTAAAATCATTGGATGAAATGTTACTGGGGAAATTTACAATAGGTGGATAGGGTCTGAACCCACTGATCAATTCAACATTGCCAAGTGTGGTAGCACATGTCTGTAATCCCAATAACTCAAGCAGGGCTTGGGGATTGTTAAGGCAAGAGGATTCCAAGTTCAAGGACAGCCTCAGCAATTTAGTAAGAATCTGTCTCAAAAAGAACTAGAGATTTAGCTCAGTGGTAATGTACTCCAGATTCAATCCCAGCCCCCTGCAAAAAATTTTTTTCTTTTTGCTAAAAGCAAGACAGCTAGGCTTTCTGCATATCTGTCTCTTCATGTAATATATGTGTGGTTGGCCAAAAACAAAAAAAGAAAAAGACCTAAATCTGAATTTAATTAAGCTTTTGGTTTACCTGAAATGAGGGAGGTAGAGGAACATATTTAAAAATACTATAAGCACAATGAAACCAATATAGAATAAAGAAATTTTTTTTCTTCCAGTACTGAGGATTGAACCCAGTAAGTAGTACTTTACCACTGAGCCATATCCCTAGTCCTTTTTATTTTGAGACAGGAAGATCTTGCCAAGTTGCCCAGGCTGACTTCAACTGATCCCCTTGCTTCAGCCTTCTGAGTCGCTGAGATTACAGGTGTTCCAACACTGTGCTGATCTAAGAAAATTCTTTAGAAAAAGTGTTTCTTCAACAATAAATGAACTTTTCTTTGAAATAGGAGGATAAAGGTGGCAAGGCAATGATATAGGTTTTGTTTTGTTTCATTTTGTTTTTAAAGCCTAAAGACATATCAACTGAAAAGAATTGTATGGATTTATTTGGATACTTAAACCAACTGTAATAAGACATTTTGAGACAATGGGAAAAATAGAACATGGATTGAATATTAATTATATCAAGGAAATGTGTTAATTTTGTTATGTGTGACAGTTGTCTTATTAATATTTTTAGAAGCCTTACTTATTAGAAATACAAAATGTATTTAAAAGTAAAATAATAAGTTATCTGGAACTTTCTTCCAAACACTCCAGCCAGAACAAACTGGAAAAGAAAGAATTAGTTGAAACTTGAAAACAACTGGATGGATATTGTTAGCTCTACTTTTGTGTATGTTTAAAGTTTTCCATAATACAAAGTTAAATTTAAAAATATTTTTAAATTCATATTTTATATAACTTGTATATTTCATTATGTTTACTTATCTTAACCTAAGAAGCACCAGATTAAATATCAGATTTTTATTCTGTAACTCAACAACAAAAAGCCCAACTTAAAAGTAGATAAAAGACTGAACCTCCAAAGAGACACAAATAACCAAGAGACATATGAGCATCTTTAGTTACTAGGGAAATACAAGTCAAAATTGTAATGACACATAGGGGGCATAACTCAGTGGTAAAGCAGTTGCCTAGCATTCATGAGTCATAAACTTTGTTTGGTCCCCAGCACTGCAAAAATAAAGAAATCACAATAGGGTACCACTTTGCACCTATTTAGGTAGCCACAATTTTAGAAGATAGAAAATAACAATTGTTGATGAGGACATGTAAACTGCACTACTGTGGGGAAACCAATTTGGGAGTTCCCCTAAAGTTAAACATGACCCAACAACAGATTCATTCATAGGTATATACCCAAAAGGATAGAAAATAGGTCCTCAAATATATTTGGACACAAATGTTTATAGTGGTATTATTTTTAATAGTTAAAAGGTAGATACAGTCCAGTTGTTAGGTGATAAATAAACAAAATGAGATATATACATAAATAGAATATTATTCAGCCATAAAAAAAAGATTGAAGTATTACTGATGCATGCTGCATGTGGGAAATACTATAGTATTTCACTATAAGTGAAAGAGACCTGACAACCAGTTAAATAGTTGCCAGGGATCTATGGAACAGAGGGTATGAGAAGTGACTGCTTAATGACTATGGGATTTCCTTTGGAGTAATGAAAATTCTTAGAACTTGATAGAGTTGATAGCTATACAACATTATGAATGTATTAAATGTCACCTCCAAATTATACATTTGTTGTGTGTGTGCATGAGTGCTACATTCTCAGCCCTGTACATTTTTGAATGGGTAATTTTATGTGAATTTTACCTTAAGGTTTTTTTGTTTTGTTTTGTTTTTAAGTCTTTGTTTCAAGCTCTAGTTTAGCTACTAACTAATTGTTTCATTAGTTTAGTCACTTAACTTCTGTAGGTCTGAATAGCCTCACCTTGGAAAATGGAGTTTGATTTTGACTGTAGATTCTCAGCTCTAAAGTTTTGGATTTTTTAATTGATAACCATGTACTTTTAAATTTCAATTTTGAATTTTTTTTTTTTTTTTTTTTTTTTTTTGGTACCAGGGATTGAACCCAGGGGCACTTAACCACTGAGCCACATTCCAGCTCTTTTTATTTATTTATTTATTTTTTTGAGAAAGGGTCTTGCTAAGTTGCTTAGGTCCTCCATAAGTTGCTGAGACTGTCTTTGTACTTGTAATCCTCCTGCCTCAGCCTCCCAAGTTGCTGGAATTACAGGTGTGCACTGCCGCTCCCGGCTCAATTTTGAAATAATTTTAAATTTATTGAAACATTGCAAAAATAATGCAGAAAATTTCCTGAATGCTCTTTTTTTTTTAAAAAATGCTATTTGTTTTGTTTTTGTTGTAGATGGACACAATACCTTTATTTTATTTATTTATTTTTATGTTGTGCTGAAGATCAAACCCAGTGCCTCACACATGCCAGGGGAGCGCTCTACCACTGAGCCACAACCCCAGCCCTCCTGAATGCTCTTTACCCACATTGACCAAAATTTTTTTAAAAACAAGGATATTCTGTATGTAATAGCAATATGTTTATCACATTCAAAAACTTTTATTTTGATACAGTACAATTTATAGTTCATATTCCAATTTTTTCAATTATTCCAAAAATGTCTTTTTTATAGCATTTATTTTCTTCTAGTGTAAGATCTAGTTCATACTCAATGTATTTGTCATTTATCTTTTAGTTTTCTTTAATCTGGAACCACTTCTCAACCTGTATCTTCCATGATGTTTATGTTGAGGAACACATGCCATTTACTTTACAAATTTTTTTGGGTGGAGTGTGTACTGGGGATTGAACCCAGGTGCATTTTACCACTGAACTGTATCCCCAGCCCCGCTCTCCCCTCCCCTCCCCTCCCCTCCCCTCTCTTTCCCCCTCCTCCTCCCAAGCTTTTTCTAAATTTTGAGACAGGGTCTCACATTGGTTAGGACCTCACTAAATTGCTCTAGCCTGCCTCAAACTTGGGATCCCCAGCATCAGCCTCCAAAGTCGCTGGGATTGCAGGCATGTGCCACTGCACACGGTGTTAGAATATTTCTTAATCTAGGTTTGCCTCATGCTCCCTCATGATTTGATTCAGGATACACTATATATCCCTGGTTTTAAAACAGTATAAATACCCTCTTCGGGTATTGCATCCAGAGACTAATCATTTATAAATTTTTTACAGAGTAGTTTCTGACAGGCAGAATAACATTCTCATGCATATGCCACCTGTATGTTCTTTGCATGTTTTTTTTTTAATTTTTATTCTTTTTTAATTTTTTTTGTTGTTGTTGTTGTAAATGGACACAGTGCCTTTATTTATTTATTTTTATGTGGTACTGAGCATTGAACCCAGTGCCTCATGCATGATAGGCAAGTGCTCTACCACTGAACCACAACCCCAGCCCCATCTTTACATGTTATTATCGGTAGTTCTAAGTATTTTATGAATTACTTTTTCACCTTAACATTATCATTATCTAATTGATTATTGTATACCTGCAAATGATAATTTTGAGTTCTTTTGACTGGTGTTCTGATTGTTTATTAGTAGGAAATATGTTTTCTTTTGCATGCTTATTTTTAAAATAAACTGTATTCATCTATACGTGATATCCTTTCTTTGTGCTAATTAAATACCGATTGTGGGAATGGACCACCATAAACTAATAGGATAATGAACATTTAATGTTCCTTTAATAATTTCTAGCTATGCAAGAAGAGGCCTTGAAGCTGGTGTTGCTGGCATTAGAAGATGGTTCTGCTCTCTCCAGGAAAGTTCTGGTACTTTTTGTTGTGCAAAGACTAGAACCAAGATTTCCTCAGGCATCAAAAACAAGTATTGGTCATGTTGTGCAACTACTGTATCGAGCTTCTTGTTTTAAGGTAAGCATTGAGGAACTATGTAAAGAATTCGTACTTCTATGTGAGTCAGAGGCTTTCTAGAATTTGTATTACCCAATCTGGTAGCAGAATGCTTAAAAAAGTTGAGAAAAATTTTTTTTCCTTCTACATTGATTGCATCTGTGATACCAAATACGGTTTCAGTTACGCAGAGTAGAACAGAGGATAATTTGGTGAACTTTTTTTTTTTTTTTTATAGTTGTAGTTGGATAGCATGCCTTTATTTTGTTTATTTTTATATGGTGCTGAGGATTGAACCCAGGGCCTCACGCGTGCAAGGCAAGTACTCTGCCACTGAGCTACAGCCCCAGCCCCTAATTTGGTGAATTTTTGACTCTAAATTAGGGGGAAAAAAACTTAAAGTGGAAGAAAGAAGCCTAATTTATTTACATTTTTCATCTTAAAAGGGAGTCAGTAACTATATTAAAAACTTCTTTTTTTATATATACTTCATTTTATGTAATATTAAAGTCTTTAATATGGAAATCCTAAGGATGACAAGAAAATGAAAAATTGAGGGGACTGCCTTATTTTGCATTCTTTGTGGATTTTGTTTGGTAGAAAGGGCAAGATGTTTTAAAAATGTTTCATTGTTTAACAGGCTGGTAGATAGTGAAAGGTGTTCAGAAAGGTAGAAAGCAGGTATCCCCTTAAAATTTATCTGTATTACAGGAGTGTAATATTTTGAGAAAGGTCTAGGACTTAGAAATAGACCCTGGGCCTCTGTGAAAATAAGGCATCTAATTTGAAACCAAAGCCTGTTTAGGTTATTTTGCTCTTTTTAAATTCCCAAGAACAAAAATTGTACAGACAGAAAAGGATTTCCTTAGCAGACTGTTCAATTTTAGATAACAGATAATTGATGATAGAAATGCATTCAAATGGATTCATTTAACTCTAATAATGAGGTTTGGACTCTTACATGCATGACAGTTGTAATGTTTGATTTCATGTCCCTAGGGAAATGAAATCAATCTCTGATTCCTTAAATATATAAGTTATTGGCTAAGCAGCCAAATTACAGAGATCATTTGCCCTTCTGAAATGACTAGGTTTTCACACTATGTATCACTGATACAATGTTTTTCTTCATAGGTATCATATTGATTTGTGCTTTATGATTGGCATATATCTATAACTGCTCCTGATAAGTGATACTTGAATAACACTAGTTTAGAAAGTTGTTTCAATTTTATGTTCTCATTTCATCCTTATTGCCACATGGTTTAAAATGTTAAAGTGCAGTGATTGTATGAATAAAAGGATATCATGTTGACTTACTGCCAGAAGGCCTTACTTGGTGAAATTTACTTTTAACAGATTCATCATTGACCAAGGTCTGTTATTCATCTTCATACTCTAGAGACCTAAATTTTGTGGGCTCATACAGTACATTTGTCTTCAGGATGATGATCATCTAACGAAGATCACATACATCAAGAGCTTTATTAATTTGTAATGAGAAATGCAGTTCTTGAATGCTATGAATTCTCACATTGGTAGATATTTTCTTGTAAAAAGTATCAAACCTTTGTTTGCTGAACATGGAATGAGAACAAGGGAAATTAATGATGCTAAGTTTTAGTCTGGTAGTTCTTTTTTTTTAATATTTATTTTTTCGTTGTAGTTGGACACAATCTTTATTTTACTTATTTATTTTATGTGGTGCTGAGAATTGAACCCAAGGCCCTGCACGTGCTAGGCGAGTGCTCTACCGCTGAGCCACAATCCCAGCCCCTAGTCCGGTATTTCCTAATTGAAGGTACATATTAGAATCACATGTGGAGCTTTTGAAAATATTCATTCCTGAGCTTTGTCCCCAGGAATTCTAATTGAGTTTATCTTAAGTTGGACTTAAGATTTCAAAAATACTTTTTAATTGTGTAGTCTTTGAATCCAGGGATTCTGATTCAGTAGATCTGAGATTCTGTCTTTCAAAGCTTCACAAATGATTTTGATACATGTTAGCACTTCAATAGGACCAGGTTCTGCTCACTACCTATGTCTGACTTCTGTACTTCTTATGCTGTCCCTGGTACACACTGTATCATACATGGTGCTTAGATGAGCGAGACCAACCTCTAGATCTTTAACTTTGTTTTTTCTGTTATTTAAGTTGATAATTCCTCCTTTTGTTTCCTCATTGCTTCTTTAGGTAGGTTATGATAGAACATAGATTTTTGTTACTTCCTAGGTACACTCATATTCTGCTTTTTCTTAAATACCTGAGATTGTATTAATTAAAATTCTAAATTTCCCAAAGAGAATTGTGATCTTATTATGACCTGATTACCTCATTCATGTTCTTGGTGGCCTGTCACTATTGTCCAATGTGCCAACAACAGCAGTAAAACACCCACAGAGGTGGTCTGGGGTTGTTTTGTTGTTGTTTGTTTTGTTTTTTGTTTCGTTTTTGATACTTGGGATCACATTTGAGGCTCTTTATCCCTGAGCTACAGTTGTTTAGACTGGCCTTGAACTTGAACTCTTCCTGCCTCAGCCCAGTGTTCAGCATAGGACTATTTTCTTCTACCAATAGGGAACCTAAATTTTGAGTAATTTGAATGATTTATCCAGTCTGTTTCAGAACCTGAACTAGTCTTGTGTGTTCTGAATTCTAACCAAGTTTTGGTTATCATTACTGGTTAGTAGTTTTAATGGTTTATCTGAAGTTTTAGTGGTTCAGGAGTAAGTACATATCATTTATTGTGGAAATTATCCATCCATATACCTACACATTTATGTTATTAGACAATTTCACTAGTTCGTGTGAAACTCTTTGAAAACTAACTCTTGTATACCCATTGACTATTGACTGAGTTTCTTCTGGTTTTTTGTTTTATTTTGTTTTTTTCTTTTAAGTACATGCCAGGCTGGTACTCTACCACTGAGCTATACCCCAGCCCTCATTGGCTGGATTTCTTGCTTATCTGTATCTATTTCTGTTACTACCAAAGTTATATTTCTTAAAACATGAATCTGATCATATCACTCTTTTTCTTAAGAGTTCTTATTGACTTTTCATACCCTTTAGAATAATATCCAAATTTCTTAACACAGTATACAAGGCCATCTGATTTTTCTCTGGTCTGTATCTTAGCTTTAACTATGTCCTTCACTCTTTCATGTTTCTGTTTTATCACTGCTGCTCTTTTGAGAATTCTATTTCTCATTTTTCTTTGCCTTGAAAACTCCTGTTCATTCTCCAAGATGTAGTTCATGTAGTCTTTAGCTGGAAGAAGGCTTTTGCAGAGATCACTTTCCTCCCCTTAACAATCACATTTAATTGCCTTTCTTCTGTGTTGCCATAGAGCTTTATAATAGCATTCTTCCTATAATTTTCTGTTTACAAGTGTCTCTTCCCTGCCAATTGCTGAACTCATTGAAAAGAAGGACTGTATATTTAGTTACACAAATAAATTTGTCCCAAAAAGGAATGTGGTGTGAACATTATCTTAACTTTTATCTACTTTGTGTGGTGTCTCTTAATGTAGTATGGACTCTTTTACTCCCCCAAAAAAGTGAATTAAGTGGTTGAGGGTAAAAGAGCAGATGAGTTTTAATGAGTTCTATTTTTTGCTTTTCTATTAGGTTACTAAAAGAGATGAAGACTCTTCCCTGATGCAGCTAAAGGAGGAATTCCGGAGTTATGAGGCACTACGCAGAGAACATGATGCCCAAATTGTTCATATTGCTATGGAAGCAGGACTTCGTATTTCACCTGAACAGTGGTCCTCACTTTTATATGGTGACTTGGCTCATAAATCACACATGCAATCTATCATTGACAAGGTTTGTAAAATTAGAGATGCTAATTTTATACCATTATTGTTATACAGAAGAGTATTAGAATACAGATGCTCCCCTGCTCGTGTCCTGGTAAACCCATCTGAGTTGAAAATGCATTTAATATACCTAACTTAATGAACATCATCATAGAATAAACAGTTAAACAAAGTATCAATTATTTATCCTCAATGATCATATAGCCTCACTGCCAATGCCCAGCATTATTAGAGAATATCATACTGCTTTATCACTAGCCAGGGGAATGGTCAAATATGGAATTGAAATACATTTTTACTGAATATGTGTTTCTTACACACCATTGTAAAGTTGAAAAATCATGAGTCAAACCATTATAAGTCTTAAGACTATCTCTGTTTTAAAGGGACTAAAGAGACAAACAGTGGAGATTTCCATGTTTTTAAATATCAGACTGTTCCAAACTAATTTTTTTTAAATATTATTTTTTTAACCTTCAAAATAAATTAGGGGCAGCTGAATATAGTGGTGTATACCTTTAATCCCAGTGACTCAAAAAGCTGAAACAGGAAGATTGCAAGTTCAAAGCCAGGCTCAGCAATTTACAGAGGCCCTGAGCAACTGAGTGAGACCCTGTCTCAAAGTAAAAAAATAAAAAGGCTGGGAATGTGGCTCGGTGATTAGTGCCACTTAATGGTAATAAATAAAAAAATAGACTAGGAAATGTATTAGGGAAACAAACATAGGATGCCAGTATAAAAGCAGCTAGGCTTACAAGGTCTCAAGTGTATCTGTATTCTGACCCCAGAGAGCTAATACAGCTTATGAATATGTTTTCTAAGTGTCTAATGATGAGTTTCATAGGGCAGATTCTGAGATGAAAATTTACTTCATCATTGATACTCCTACTATGAAATCTGAAGACACTTGAAAACCTGTTAAGTAACTGAGACATTAAAAATGTTAGAATATATTATGTGTCAAAGAGTAAAAACCATTCTTTTTTTCTATTTGTTAGCTGCAGTCTCCAGAATCATTTGCAAAGAGTGTTCAGGAATTGACAATTGTTTTGCAACGAACCGGTGACCCAGCTAACTTGAATAGACTAAGGCCTCATTTAGAGCTTCTTGCAAACATAGACCCTAATCCAGGTATGTGAAAAAATGCTCGAGTGTTTGTACTGTGTCTACCTTTGAGGTAAATAACACGAGAATTACTGCTAACACATTCTCCCCATCCCCCATCCCCTTGATGCTTATTTTAGATGCTGTTTCGCCTACCTGGGAGCAGCTAGAAAATGCAATGGTAGCTGTTAAAACAGTGGTTCATGGCCTTGTGGACTTCATACAGAATTATAGCAGAAAAGGCCATGAGACACCTCAAGTATGTATATTTATTGCACTTCTGGCTACTCTTATCTCTAGCTCAGTTTCATCATGAACTTCTTAACCTGTTTGGTTAATGGACTCTTCCTGTGACTCTTCTCTTATAACTTCTTTTTTGTTTATTCATTTGTTTTTGTGATGCTAGGGATCAAATCCAAAGACCTTGTGCATGCAAAGCAAGTGCTTTGCCACTAAGGTACATCCCCATCCATCTCATGTTTTTATTATCTCTTGTTTTTTTGTTTTTGGGAGAACTCAGTTTTAAATGTACTTGATAAGTACATAGCACAGCAAGAGTGTAGAGGTTATCTTTGATATGAGTTCACTGAAAACAGAATGGTTTTGACCCAAGTATAGCTTATTGATTCCCTCCAAAGATTTTGTTCAGTTCTTTTCTACAGTTGGAAGATATCACTTTTTTCTCCATTGCTATCTCTCGAATGAATTTCCATTTGAATTTATAAGATATTATCTTCAATGTACTGTAGAGAAAGTTAAATTATAATCATTATTTTGATAATAACTTCCATTTGTTAAGTTAATGTGGGCCAGTCCCTCTGTATAATATTTTACGTATGTTATTTCTAATCCTCACAGCTACCTACAAGGTAATTTCTTTTCCTAAGCTGAAATTTAAAGAGGTTAAAGAACATCTAAGGTGATGATGTCAGTAAGTGACAACTTGGATTAAACCTATCCCAGAGTCTGTTATCTTTCGCTCTTCTATCCTTATTTGATTAGAAGATATTATATTCAAATATCAACTGAATAATATTGTTCAGATGGTAAAATAAGAATGACCTCTTCTGAGACTTTGATGCAAATTATAGCATCTATGATGCTATAATTTTATAGTCTTCCTCATTATTTGTGTAAACTTAAACAGCTTAAGCCTAAGAATAAAATTGTACCTCCAAGTTTACAACTGGTAATTTTTCACTTTCAGGGAAATGGTATTCTGCCTTTCCTGGGAAAGCTTAAGTGGACAAAGCTTATGACTTTTTTTAAAAGGCTTTTTAAAATTATTTAATATTGGTATCACAGTTTTAATATAGCAATAAGCTAGTGAGAAAAATCTTTCTATCCATGGATATTGCATTGTATTGAACCATTTCAGATGATCTTCAGAAAGAATGTCTAAAATGCTAACTCAGGGTTATGTCACATATGGAATGGTAGTTGTTTCAGCACAAGAATTACTTGTCTAATGTGATAAAGAATTAAGTGTATGATTATAAAGTTCTGAAGTTCCAAGAGTGAATAACAACTGGAATCATCATTTTTCACACATTGAATGTCTTCTTTTTTATAGCCTCAGCCAAATAGCAAGTACAAGACTAGTATGTGCCGAGATTTGCGACAGCAAGGGGGGTGTCCACGAGGAACAAATTGTACATTTGCCCATTCTCAGGAAGAGCTTGAAAAGTAAGTTTTGAGAATTCTCTTTCATATGGGTTTAATTTTTTATCATTATAATGACAGTATCATTCATAGTCTTCAACTTTGTAGTGTTCCAAAGAAAAAAGTTCACACAGCAGAATGTGGTTGTATGCACCTGTAATCCCAGCTACTCAGGAGGCTGAGGCAAGTTCAGGCAGGACCAGCCTGGGCAATTTAGCAAGACTCTGTCTCAAAGTCAGATTTTAAAAAAGGACTGTTGATGTAGTTCAGTGGTGTAGAGTACACCTGGATTTAATCCCCAGTACTACCAAGGGAAAAAACTAACATTTTAAGTGCTCTAGAATGCAAAATAACCTCTTCTTTTTAACTATAAGATGATTAATCTAGGCTCAAAAGCAATATGATAAGTGACTTCAAGTCTTATTTAAGGATCATATTTTGAGACCATTTTATAGCTGGGAATCTGTATTTCTTCTAACTGTATAGACTGAAAATACCCCTATTGCCTTTAATTGAACTTTTTGAGTTCAGTTGAGCAGAACAGAAAAAATCTCACAAAAATGGTAAAGCGGGTACATTTTCTTTTTCTGGCTTTAGGTCTTTTTAACTTTTTTCCCGCCTGTGCTGTCTTCTCTCTTCTCCTAGGGATAATTTCTTTTTCTATGTCTGTTTACTCCATACAAAAAAGTAATAGATATAAGCTATGATACATACATCCAGTTAGCAAAAACTTTCATCATTTAAACCTAACTAAAATTTTGATCTCATCCTTTCAATTAAACAACTGGCACATGTATCAACTCTTAAGTGGACATCTCCATTTTGTTTTTAGACACTTTACACTTAAATTGAGTTCATTTTTTCCTCCGATACCTCCTTTTCCTTCCATTCTTCTCTCCCCTTGTGTATCCTGTCAAGCACTTATACATGCCATGTTGTAGGAACCATTGTCAGCTGTCTTTCCTTCATATTTTTCAGCTTAGTCATTCCCTATACTCTGCCAATTCCACTTCCTATATATCCCTCAACTGTGTTCTTCTTTACATCCTTATAGTCCATCCTATCATTCCCTTAATCCATAAGTTGCATCTACCATTGCACACCTCCTCTCCCATTGTTTCCCACAAAACAGAAATCTTCTAAAAGTATAGATTACTCATATTATTCCTCTGCAGCTATCTGTGATAGTTTCTCATTGCCTTACAGATAAAGATATAAAGTCTGGGTTGTGGCCTTGAATGCCCTGCATCATGTAACTTGTGCTAGCCTTTCTGATCTCGTCTTGCAACACTCTGTAATTATACTCTGTACTCAAGCTGCACTTAACTTTTGTCAGTTCCTGAAATATACCATGTTCCTTCGCACCTTGGGTTTTTTTTTTTTTGTTGTTGTTGTTGTTGTTTTTTAAATAATGCCAGTCCTTCCAGCCTTGCCTTTGGGTCTTTTCCTTTGATCTGATTATCCTTCATGTTTTCAGGGGGATCTCTTTACTACTCCATAAGAACCAGGTTATTTTTGTCATATTTTTCACAATTACAATTAATTAATGGTCTGTTTTAGTGATTGATAAACTTTTCTGTAAATTCCAAATAGTAAATATTTTTGGCTTTGAGGGCCATATAATTTTTTATTTTCCAGGAGGCTAATGCTGAGGATTGAACCCAGGGGTGTTTGGCCTCTGAGCTACATCCCCAGCATTTTGTTTTTTATTTTGAGAAAAGGTCTCACTGAGTTTCTCAGGCTGGTCTTGAACTTGGCAATAAGTCCTCCTGCCTTTGTTCTGAGTAGCTGAGATTGCAAACATGTGCCACTGTACCCAGCAGAGCCATGCAACTTCTGTTAGAACCATTCAACTATGAATTGCAAGAAAAAAGCCTCCATATACAATATGTAAAATTGGCATGGTGGCACATACCTGTAATTCCAGCTACTTGAGAGGCTGAGGCAGGAGGATCATGAGTTTGAGGCCAGCTTGGGTTAACTTAGCAAGATCCTGTTTCAAAATAGAAAGGGCTAGAAACATAGATTCATGGTAGAGCAGCCCTGGGTTCAATTTCCAGTACCTCAATTTAACCTAATTTAATTTAATTAGAAAAAATAAAAAGCATGGTTATAAGCCTTATTTATAAAAACAAGCAATTTTGGCCCACATGCTATAATTATCCAACCTTTAATCTATTCATTGAGTCTTTGCTTACCTTACTTAACTAAGTGTAAGCTCCATGGACTATATGTTGTTTTTTGTTGTCTCCTTTCCTCCCTGGCTATCACTGAGCCCTGCACTTAATGAGCTCTCCAGTAGCAGTGGCATGATAGAGAAAATTATGTGTGTGTGCAAAAAGCAAAAACACGCTTCTCTTGATTTTGTCCCCCCTCACTTTAAAGAGCCAAAGATGCTGCAGGAGTCCTAAAGAAAAAAAAGAAGCTGTATGCACCCAGTCTAACTCTGTATAGAGAATTTCACATTGATAATTTTTAAGATTCTGGGAGATAAAATTCAGTTTATCCATATCTGAAATAAAGCATTTTAGCTCAAATAGAAAGATCTTGAGAGGACCTTGCTTAGTCCTAAAACGTCAGAGAGGAAACTCATTTCATTGTCATTCCACCCTCAAGCAGTGCCCCATCTGAAAAAAGATCTGGGGGTATAGCTCAGTGTTAAGTACCCTAGTGGTTAATTAGTTTTTTAGTAACATTTCTCTATGTCTCATCTTGTCTTTTCTGTTTCTACCAAGATTTTCTTTCTAAAAGATGTGTCATTTTTATCTTCTACTTTAAATTCTTAGTTTATTCCTCAGTACATCACAGAATTTGGTCCATCCTGACTTTCAAGCTTTGCCTTTTAGAAATAGATAGATACAGATATAGATTGTTTTTTGGATTTTACTTTTTTGTGGGGGAGGGGTGTTGTTTTGCAGTGCTGGGATTGAACCCAGGGCTCAAACATGGTAGGTACATAATGGATAATTTTTTAAAGGTGCATCCAGTTAATTACTGCTGACTACCATATGATTTCTTTCACTGTTCAGTCTTCCACATGTTGTTCCCTCTGTATTGTGTGCTTTTCTGTCTTTTCTTTCTGGAGAACTGTTTCTTATCATATTTAGGTATCATCTTCCCTCCACAGACTTCCCTAACTTACCTAGGCAATATTGGTTGTTCTCTTTACTGTGCTGCTATAGCATTTGTCTTACTGGTTTCATACTTCTATAACAGAATGCTATAGACTGGATATTTGGTGGTTTTCATGCCTCAATACCTCCCCTCTCTTTTCCCTCCTTTCTGTACTCTACTGGTCTCCCTTCTATTTTCATGAGACTGCCCCCCACACACTTTTTTTTTTTTTCTCTAGCTTCCATATATGAGCGAAAACATAGGACCCTTGACTTTCAAGGAGTTTTATTTATTTTGCTTAACATAATGCCCTTGAGTTTCATGTATTTTCCTGCAAAAGACATAATTTCGTTCCTATGACCAACTAAAACTCCATTGTGTATATATAACACATTTTCTTTATCCATTCATCTGTTGATAGACACCTGCACTAGTTCTAACTCCATTGTGTATATATAACACATTTTCTTTATTTATTCATCTGTTGACAGACACTTATACTAGTTCTAAATTTGACTGTTGTTAAGTTGTACTGCATGAGTAAGCATATGTTGCTGTAGTATGCTGATTTTAATTCTTTTGGATAAATACCACTGAATTGTAGACCTGGGTCATATTGTGGTTCCATTCTATTCTTTTGAGGAACCTCCATGGTGGTTGTGCTAATTTACAGTCCACCGAGAGTATACAAGTGTTCCTTATCCCCCATACCCTTGCCAGCATTTATTTTTATTTTTTTCTTGATGGCTACCATTTTAAATGGAGTGAGATGAAATCTTAGTATAGTTTTGATGTGCATTTCCCTGATTGCTAAAAATGTTGAACATTTTGTAGATATTTGTTGGCTATTGTTATTTTTTTTTCTTTTGAAAAATGTCTGTTTAGTTCATTTGCCCATTTATTGACTCGGTTTTTTGTTTGTTTTGGTGTTTAAGTTCTTTGTGTTCTTTTTGTATTCTAGTTATTAATCCTTTGTCAGAAGAGTACATGGCAAAGATTTTTCTCATTCTGTGGACTTATTTTTCATGTTTTTAATTGTTTCCTTTGTTGTGCAGAAGCTTTTAAATTTGATGCTGTCATATCTTGGTATTATTTCCTGAGCTTTAAGTGTCCTATTGAGGAAGTTGTTGCCTGTGCCTGTGTGTTGGAATGTTGACCCTATGTTTCTTCGAGCATTTGCTAAGTTTTTGGTCTAATTCCTAGGTCTTTGATCCACTTTGAGTATACTTTTGTGCAGGATGAGAGATAAGGGTCTAGTCTCACTCATCTATATATAATTAGCCAATTTTTTCAGCACCATTTGTTTAAAAGGCTACCTTTTGAGGGTTGGGAGGCAGAGGCAAGAGGATCTCAAGTTCAAAGCCAGCCTCAGCAATTTAGCTAGATACTAAGCAACTCAGTGAGATTCTGTCTCTAAAGAAAATACAAAAATTGGGCTGGTGATATGGCTTCGTGGTTGAGTGCCCCTGAATTCAATCCCCAGTACCAAAAACAACAACAACCCAAAACGGCTATCTTTTCTCCATAAGTTTTTGCTACCTTTGTCAACGATAAAATGACTGTATCTATGTGGATTTGTCTCTGTTGTTCCCTTAATTTATGTGACTGTTTGTTTCATGCTGGTACTGTGTAGTTTATTACTATAGCTCTGTAGTACAATTTAAAGTTCGGTATTGTGATGCCTCCAGCATTTTTCTTATTTGTTTGTTTGCTTAGAATTGCTTTGGATATTCTGAGTCTTTTATCTTTCCATATGAATGGACTATTTTTTCTAGTTCTGTGAATAATGTCATTGGTACCTTGATGGATATTACATTGAATCTATAGATTGGTTTTGGTGATATGGCCATTTTAACAATATTAATTCTGCCTATCTAAGAACATAGGTCTTTCCCTCTTTCAGTGTCTTCTATAGTTTTTTTCTTCAGTGTTCTATTATTTTTATAGACTGGATAATTTATATAAACATAAATTTATTTGGCTCACTGTTCTAGAGGCTGGGAAGTCTTTAAGATTAAGGGGACACGTCTGTTACGGGTCTCTCGCATCATCCCATGGTGGAAGGCAAAAGGAGATTGAACTTGCTGATTTATCGGGTTTTATCAGGAAACCACTCCTGTGGTATTGACTTTAACTTTTCTTTACTTTTTTTTTTTAATGATACCAGGGATTGAACTGAGGGGAGTTTAACCACTGAGCCACATCATCCCCAGTCTTTTTTGAGACAGGGTTTCAGCAAATTGCCCAAGGCCTTCCTAAGTTGCAGAGGCTAGCCTTGAACTTGGGATCCTCCTGCCTTAGCTACTGGGATTACAGTAGTGCTCTACCATGCCCAGAAGCATGAATCCATTCTTAAGGGCAGAGACCTTATGACATAATCATCTCTTAAAGGTCCCTCCTCTCAACATTGTTGCATTGGGGATTAAGTTACCAACACATGAACTTTGACAGGCATGTTCAAACCATAGCAACACTCCATATGTAGTAATTATAACTAGTTTTTATAAAATGTCTGTATTGCAAGTGTTACTTACCTGTGTGCTTCATTTATCTATATTTCCTGAATCTACCAGATATCTGAATAAACTCAAAATGTTTATGTCAAAAATAAAATAATCTACAGTTCCTATTTCTTATTTCCAGACAGCTTCACACTCTCTACTGCTTTTAAAACAAATAGGAGTCACACAAAGGATTAGAGAATGAGGCGGTGTTGCTGTATCATCTTGATTTAAAAAATTTACGTTGCTAATCTCACAGATTTTTGAAAAGTCCTTTTATCTTAGTTCACATAAGACACCAAAAGCTTAACAAATATATTCGACTTAATTTTACCCTTGCTTGCTTTCTCTACTGCATACCCCTCTAACCATATAAAATGTAAATGCCCAACAATCCCTCTTTAGAATAAATATTTAAGTGGATATGTTTTATTAAAAGTATATTAGAAATCTATTCCCAAGAATTGTTGCAATTCTGAAAAGTGTCAAAAATCTGGAATCACCTAACTCATTTAAAAAGGTTGTTATGGCCTTGGTACTGTATGAAGTGCTTCTAAGTGGGGAAACAGGAACAGTAACATGTAAATAATACATTTCAGCAGTTTGGTGAGCTACAGCAAAGACTATGGATTTTATTCTGATTGCAACAGGAAGCCATTATAGGATTTTATTCAAATCGAATGATGAGGTTTTAATTTTGTCTAAGAAATGTCACTCTGGCTGGGCGAGATGGTACATGCCTATAATCTCAGCAGCTTAGGAGGCTGAGGCAGGAGGATCGCAAGTTCAAAGCCAGCCTCAGCAACAGTGAGGTACTAAGCAACTCAGTGAGACCCTGTCTCTAAATAAAATACAAAATAGGACTGAGGATGTGGCTGAATGGTTTTGTGCCCTTAGTTCAATCCCTTGTACCAAAAAAAAAGAAAGAAAGAGATGTCACTCTGATGTCTATATGGATGGAGACCAGTTAAACTTCTGCAGTGGGCCAGGTGCAAGACTGATAGCATAATCCTAGGACTATAGTATTGGAATTGATGAAAAGTATTCATATTTGAGATATATATTGGAAATAGAGCTTACAAAATGGACAGATTGAATGTGGATTATAAAGAAAAATGTTTGTATTCTGCATTATTGAGTGATACTGAGATGTGAAATGCTTTGAGACAGAAAATCAGTAGTTCTTTTGGTCATACAAAGTTTGAAGCTTACTCCACATTAATGCAAGAAGTATTTATTGAGCATTTAGTATGCGTGAGACACTATATTATGTGCTAAAGATGGAGAGGTGCATAAGAAAGGCAAAATCCTTGTCCTCACAGGGCTTACGTTGATGTAGAAGGGACTAATATAAAACAAAAAAATAGAAAGCATACTGTCTTTGATTGGTGCTAAGAAGAAAATTATACAAGAGGAAAGAATGATTGAATGGGAGATGGTTTAGAATGACATTTAAGTAGACATTGTAATGAAATAAATAGAAAGATAGTTACAGAATTGAAGTCTATGAGGAGACAAATCGTCTTGAGACACATAAGTGAGGCACAAGTGGAAAGATTTGCTTTAGGAACAGGAACTCTATGTCCCTTTCTTAGAAAGAGTGCTTGATTATAGATACAGGAAGGTTAGTAGAATTGGTTATAGTAAGATAATTCTCAATTCATCTCTTTCCTTTGTTAGGAGGGATACAATATATAATATCACTCTGGAGGGTGGAATGGAAAAGGTTGTTACATGTAGAAAAGTAGATTTAGTAAATAAATGTATTAATGATTTGCTTGGCCATTTTAAATAGTTCATAATTTTGAACTAGAATCTATAAAGCATATTGCACCTTTTTTCTCCACCAACATTTAACTGCTCTGCTTGGGAACAGGCAAGAGAGGAATTAATGGTAGATATTGGATTCTAAGATGGGAGTACTTCTAAGTACTTGAGGGGACTTATGGATGATTTAAAAATAGGAAGCAGTTGGGTTTCTCAAGTATGAACTGCAAATTCTGTTTCACCCTTTAGCTGCCCAGATGCTAAAAGTTCATTATGAACCCTGACTCCTCACTCAGTTTTCCACACTTGGTTAAGTTTTGACTTCTCCTAATTCCTGTTTTTTGAGAATTCACATACAAAACTTTTATTTTTTGCTTGCTTAACCACCTTATGAATATCTGAAATTGTCATTTGAGTATGGCTAGCAAGGCACAATTGAGCATTTTGTATAAGAAATTGGAAGAGAAGAATAAGCAGCCTTCAGAAAGTGTTGGAAAGCACAGGGGTTTCTGATCTCTTCATGCCATCAAATTGCCTTTGAAATATAGGTCTGCTCATGTTCCTCCTCCTCTAAGAAGTAATCATTGGTTCCCTCAGTGTTTACGCAATGACATATAAATTGGCCATCACCAGTCTTCTTATAGTACTGGGATTAAACTCAGATGTGCTTTTTTTTTTTTTTAAACATTCCCACCCTACCCCTATCCCCTTTTGGTGGGGACAGGGACTCCTTAAGTTTCTAAGGATCTCACTAAATTAATGAAGCTGGCTTTGAACCCCCTTCATTCCCAAGTCGCTGGGATTACAGGCATGCGCCATTGTACCTTGTTTTTATTGTGTTTCATCTTTTTTTGTTTTGTTTTGTTATAAACTTCATGTGCCTATTATTCAACCTTCAGCCAGCCTGTTCTGGGAGCCCTTGTCTTTTATTAAGCTTCATCTTCCCTATCAGTGTATGTATATGGTGAGACAGAAAGAGAAAGGATTGAATAATGAAGCTGTTGATAGATCTTGAAGGACTAAAAGGGAAACTATTATGAAAGCATTGCTTGTCACTAAAACTATATTAAATTACTATGTTTATGCATAATATTAATATCACATTTAGACATAATGATGACCCCAAATGTATGTAGACTTTTTTTCATTCATGTAAAACTTAATTTCTCACCACTTAAAAATATTGGAGAGAGCTGGGCATAGTGGTGCACACCTGTAATCCCAGCAGCTCAGGAGACTGAGGCAGGAGGATCGCGAAGCCAGCCTCAGCAAAAGTGAGGCACTAAGCAACTCAGTGAGACCCTATCTGTAAATAAAATAGGGCTGGGGATGTGGCTCAGTGGTCAAATGCCCCTGAGTTCAATCCCCCCTAAAAAAGAATGAGTTTTGGGCTAGGCACAGTAACATATGCCTGTAATCCCTGAAGCTTGATGGGAGACTGAGGCAGGAGGATCTCAAGTTCAAAGCTAGCCTCAGCAACTTAGCAAAGTCCTAAGCAACTCAGTGAGACTCTGTCTCTCTAAATAAGATAAAAAGGGCTGGGGATGTAGCTTTTTTGTTAAGCACCCTGGGTTTAATCCCTGGTAACAAACCCCTCCACCCCAACCCCTGCTAAAAAATTGAGTTTTGTGGCTGCGTTTGGTGTTAGCTGCAATCCCAGTGACTCAGGAGTCTGAGGCAAGAGGATCACAAGTTTGGAACCAGACTGTGCAATTTAGTGAGACTTTTGTTTTTTGAGACAGGGTCTTGCTAAATTGCCAAGGCTGGCCTCAAACTTCAGATCCTCCTGACTTAGCCTCCCAAATAACTGAAGGATGCTTTCAATTCTTGTATATCTTTCCTCTTCATTCTGTGTTTCCCAATCAAATTTGGTGCTGGTTCTTGTTGGTTTTACATATTTTACTTTATATTTCAATTATATAAGATCTTCAAGCATTTTCTTTCCACTCAATAAAAATTGTTCTCTGAATACATGTGTACCTTGGTTGCTATATTACTTTTGTGTCTATGTATACATGTACATTATAGACATATGTAAATAGTATCTATATTTTCATGTGTCATTTGTAACAGTACATTTGGTATAGACTATTTGATATTTAGCTAAAGAAACTTTTCAAAACTGTTTTCTTTTTTAAACATATTTCCCATTGCCTTTTTCTTCCTTAGAATAAGTTTTAGAACGATATTCACCAATGTTGTTTTTAAACAGGTATCGATTAAGGAACAAAAAGATCAATGCGACTGTAAGAACGTTTCCTCTTCTAAATAAAGTTGGTGTAAACAACACTGTCACAACCACAGCCGGAAATGTCATTTCTGTCATAGGAAGTACTGAAACAACCGGGAAAATTGTTCCAAGTACAAATGGAATATCAAATGCAGAAAACAGTGTTTCCCAGCTAATCCCACGTAGTACTGACAGTACTTTAAGAGCTCTGGAGTCTGTGAAGAAAGTGGGGAAGGTTGGCACTAATGGTCAGAATGCTGCTGGGCCCTCTGCAGAGTCTGTAACTGAAAAGTAGGTATTAGGTAAAAGGCTTAATAAGACTTCTTTATCCTTTTTAGAAATGCCTGAGTACTTTTTTTTTAATCCCGAAGAATAGCAGTTAATTAGAGTTTTTATATAGAATGAAAAATTTACGTTTTAATCATGGCTGTACAATTGAATAGCTCTGTAAACTTGGAAAGTCACTTCAACTCTGAGTTTTGTTTCCTCAACTATACACTAAAGGAGGTTGGACCAGAATTGGGTTTTTCATACCATATTTCCTTGAACTTCAGGAATGATGCCATAGAGGTGCCAGAAAGGAACTAAGTAGAAACCTAAACAGGTAAGAGGCTCAGCCTCTAGCCCTATTTAAATCAAAGCACTTCTACTTCATACTTTACAATGATGCATAGCAATAAAGAAAGAGGGGAATCTTTGTAGCAAAACTCTTTGGGCTCACATTATAGTTCACTGTTTCTCAACTTTAATCTTTCTTCCTTAGTTTACCCATTCATAAAATTAGAATACCTGTTTGATGGACTGGGGTGGAACATATGCCCGGCATTTACTAGGCCCTGGGCTCAATTCCCAGCTATATACATACACGCACGCACAAACACACATCACCCACACACATTATAAAAGAACACCTAACTTCATATATTGGTTATGAGAATTAGATGAGTTTACTGCATTGTGTACTTTAAACTGAATCTTATGGTTAGTAAGCACTCAATGAACATCTGCCTCATTATTATTATTTTTACCAGCATTGTTGTTGTTGGGTGTCAGCATGAGATTGATTTAGCAAAAGGTTTTGTTGCCATAATAAAAATGTTTTAAGCCAGGTGCAGTGGTGCACAAGTTCCAGGCCACTCTCGACAATTTAATTAGACCCTTTCTCAAGGTAAAAATTAAAAGGATTGCAGATGTATCCCCTGGATTCAGTCCCACATATGAGAGAGAGAGAAAAGAAGTGTTAGGTCTGGGTGGTGTGTTGCTCAGTGGTAGAGCACTTTCCTAGACCCTGGGTTCAAACCCCAGTACAACAAAGAAAAAAACTTTTAAAACTGCAGATGATTTGAAAAGTTATTTCTAATTCTAAAATCTCATACTTTGGTATTCTTTTGAGGTTTCAAATCTGAGTTAAAGTATTTTCAGATTTTTTGCCCATAAAGTCTGTCAGCATCTATTACATGAGTACTATACTGTGCTGTGCACACAGTAAACTGCTGCTCACTTCATGTAACAAAGGGTAAATAGGTAAAAAGTAATAATTCTCTACTTTTGCATATGATAAGGAAATTGTTTGTTAAAGGACCCTTATGATCTTCACTGAGATATCTTACAAAAATATGTATCAAAAATATTGTCTAGTAAATATTATCTGTATACTTATTGTGCATTCCATTTTTAGCACAGTTGGAAATACCTGAGACATAAGATATCTCTGCCTTTAAGGGATTTATGATGCTGTTGTTGTAGAGACAGCATTTACACAAATGAAGCACACTGGAGGGGGATTAAAGGTTAGGAAATTTTATATTGCTGGGAGAAACATGGGAGCAGATTTTAGACAAACAATAAAATGGGTTAAGTTATATGGAATGCTGAGGAGACCAGCCTTTTAGAAATAAAAGTTTATATTAGGAATTGGTGTAAAATAGGATTAGATAGCTAGATTGATGTTGGATTATGAGGTCCTTATGTTGCATATGTTTGGGAAATTGACTTTTAAAGGGCTTTGGCAAGGTTAAAGTAAAACATTTTATATCCATACAGTGGAATATCGTTTATCAAGAAGAAGTACTATTGTGTGTTATAGAATGGGTGAATCCACATTTTGCCAAGTGAAAGAAGTTGGATATAAGACACCACTTACAATTTCATTTATGTGAAATGTCCTAAACAGGCAAATCCATAGAAACAGAAAATAGATTAATGGTGGCTGTGGACATAGGGTAGTGTTGGAATGGGGACTTGAATGTTAATGTGTCAAGTTTCTCTAGAGAATGATGAAAATATTTCAGAATTAAATAGTAGTGATAGTTGGAAAATCTTGGGAATGTTCCAGAAGCCAATGAATTGCACACCTCAAAGGGTGAATTATAGATCAATTTTTAGTTTATTTTTCTTTGTGATACTTTACCACTGAGCTATCTCCCTGGCCCCTATATCTCAATTTTTTAAAAAGTACATTAACAGTGAAAAAGCTGCTGATAATAAATAAATATAAGTAAATAAATCCCTTATTTTTCCTTCAGTTATTATGGGTCACCTAATAAGTGCTAAATACCAGGCCAGCTGGTGTAGCTAATGAAAATGAGCTGTGGATATACTCTTGCCTCCAGAGGTCTTCCAGTGTAGTCTGGGAGATGGACATGTAAATAGATATCATATAATATAATCTGAAAAGTTCTGCAATGAAATTTGTATTCCAGTTGTTATTGGAACACAGGAAAAAGGATAACTAATTCTTTTTTTTTTTTTTTTACTTGTAAAATGCACTTTGATACATCATATATAGATGGAGAATAATTTCTCATTCTTCTGGTTGTACATGATGTAGAATCCCACTGGTCAATAGGGTAATAATGTCTGTCTGATTCATTCTACTATCTTTCCTACCCCCATACATCCTCCCCTCCCTTCACTTCCCTCCACCTAAGGATAACTAATTCTACAGGGAGATATTGTGGAAGACTTTTAGAGGTAAAGTGACAACACCTGAACTAGTTCTAAAAGTATGCATAGCAAGGCAGGAAGATCTTTGTGGATAGAGGAAGCAACACAAGCAAAAACATGGAGTTACAAGGGGAATTGTTTGGAAGGAAAACCTAGAATCCTGGAAATCATCTAGGATAAAACTAATTACCACTTATAATTTCATTTATGTGAAATGAAACTAATCATCTATCTCCCTGACTAATATGTAGCTGAAGATTAATTAGCTTTGTCCTGAAGTCTGGATTTTGGGGATAGCTTGCATGCTTTTCTGAGATTACATTTAACTTTTCATGAATTTTTATGATAAATCTTATTTGCCATTTCAAAGTACTAATTCAGATTTTTAGTATATAACATTTTGACATGGAACGACCAGATTATCTATGTAGAACACTTAGTATAGTGCCTAAAATGTATTCAGTGACTGTTCTGTAAATGTTGTTGTTATTATTAAAAGGAAATTCTAATCATTTTCCTATTGCTTGTGTTTAACTTAAAGAATAAACAAAACCCTAAAATATCTTTAAACTCCAAGCCAAGATATTTGTATTTACTGTTTTACCCACATTTCCTTATTTATTTTCTACCTTTTTTTTTTTTTTAAATAGTGCTAGGGACTGAACCCAGGGCCTTACCACTGAGCTATTACCCCCAGCTCTATTTCTACTTTTTTTTTTTTTTTTTTGGTACCTGGGATTGAACCCAGGAGCGATTAACCACTGAGCCACATCCCAAGCCCTTTTTTATATTTTATTTAGAGACATAATCTTTCTGAGTTGCTTAGAACTTCGCCAAGTTGCTGAGGCTGGTTTTGAACTTGCAGTCTTTCTGCCTTGACCTCCCCAGCTGCTGAGACGGCAGGCATGTGTCATCATACCCATCCTATTTTCTACACTTTAAGATATAATTATACATAGAAATAAACATCTGCTAGGCTAATCTACCATGCTAGGCTTAAAGACAGTCTATACACTTTGTTGTTTATATTCAAGCATTAAAGGGACTTTTCTAGTTTAAGGGGAAATCCTCTTAAATCTGATTGGGAGCCAATATTCTGAATTCCTTCATAATAACAAGATCATTTTCTTGAGTCACCACATATTTAAAAATAGCTTTGTTGAAGTTTGACTTCTTAAAGGGTATCAAGCTATGATAAGATGGTCTCAGCTGATTACTTGGTACTCAATCCAGAAAATTCTGTTTTGTTTAAAACAAGGTAAAAGGCTTGAGTATTTTGCATCAGTTTAATGAGTTATCTCATTGGCATTTCATTCATTCAGCAGATGCTTACTGAGTATCTACTGTGTGCCAGGAGTTATTTTATCTGTCCAACTAGTGTTTACTACCTCTTAGGAACTGTTCTAGGTACCAGGGATATGAGGGTTAACAAAACAGACAAATAATTCTCTTATATTACATTTCAGCTAATCTAATTCTTAATAGAGAACAACTCTTGCTTACTATGTCTGCCTTATTTGTCCCAAAGAATTCTACTGGTTGACTGATGTTTTTCTTGGGAACTTATTAAACAGAATTTTATTTATTTTTTTTAATTTCCTTTAGGAAAAATCTTTGTTTAAAGAGGCGTAAAAGGGACTGATGAGTCACTATATTGCCTAGTATTTGTTTTCATTTCTTGTTTCCCACACCAGAATATAAGATGTTACTATAATCTTGTAAATTAACAGTATAAGGTGATAGTGAAAATCTTTGCCTTTATTTATCACTGGAAATATCTGAAGTGTTTTCTATTAATAGCTTCACTGTTTAAGTTTATGAAAAATTTCTACAGAGGAAGACTTAACAGTCATAGATAGTGATTTACCCTCTGCCCTTTGTTATATTTTCTCTCCAGTAAAATTGGTTCTCCACCCAAGACTCCTGTAAGTAACATAACTGCTACCTCAGCTGGGCCCTCTAATGTTGGAACAGAACTGAATTCTGTGCCTCCAAAATCCAGCCCATTTCTCACTAGAGTACCAGTATACCCTCAGCATTCTGAAAACATTCAGTATTTTCAAGATCCAAGGACTCAGATACCTTTTGAAGTCCCACAGTACCCACAGACAGGTAAGTAATTTTAGATAATTCTAAGAAAAAAAAGAAACTGTCATCTAACATTTGTTATAATAAATGAGTGAATAATTTATATTTTTCTAGAATGTTTGCATTAAAAAGTTAATCTTTTTGACATTAATATGACCTGTAAGTTTTCTCCCTGATGTAAAAATCTTAGATTCTAGATGCTAGTATATAGATTTTCATTAATATATGTATTGTGAATACACAGAAAGAGACTCAATGATAGGTAATTCAAAGGGGTGGTTAAAACATGAGCTTATATGTCATCTTAACCAAAGAACAATAAAACTAGAAAACTGACAAGAGAAAAGGAGCCCAGTATCCAAGTGCATGCCTGTAATCAGAGACTCAGGCCAGCCTCAACAACTTAGCAAGATGCCGTCTCAAAATAAAAAGGGCTGGCAGAGTGGCTCCGTGGTAGAGGTTCTATGGCTTCAGTCTCTAGTACCACCAAAATAAAAAAGGAAAAGGACTTCAAATTTCTAGTGTGGCACATTGTGGGAAGCTAGATAAATGGGGGAACTACTGGAGGTTAAGAGCTAGTCAGTAAGGTTTTTATGCTTCCCATGGTGCCACCTTCAGGCCAATAAGAATCTAAAATTGTCTCTGGTGATTACAATTACAAATGTTATATACTGTGTTTAGGCATATAGGAAGAAGACAGATCTTTTTTCTTGTTTTTGCTGCTTTTCATTTGTCTTCAGCTCAGAATAATCCTTGTGCAAAAAGTTATACATCATGGTATTCTGCCACCCTTTAGTCTATGCCTGTTTTGTTTCCTTTCTTTTTAGTAAGTGATACAAAAACATAAAAATTATATATATTAATGGAGTACCATGTGATATATTGATAATGTGTTTACATTGTATTAAGGTTTAAATCAGGTTAAACATACCCATCTCCTTAAATATATATCGTTTCTTTATGATGAAAACATTCAAAAATTCTTTCTTCTAGCTTTTTGAAATATATCTAGTACATAGTTAATATCTGTAGTCACCCAAAATCCTTTCTTCTAGCTCTTTGAAATATGTGTAGTACATAATTGGTATCTATAGTCACCCTACTGTGCAGTAACACACCAGAACTTCTTACTCCTAACTAACTATAACCCCATCTCTCTCTTCCCCCTACTCTCCCTAACCTCTGGAGAAAGTATGGTAACCATCATATATGAGATCAATTATTTATATTCCATGTATGAGTGAGATCTTGCAATACTTGGTTTTCTGTGCTTAGGTTATGTGACTTAACATTATGATTTCCAGTTCCATCCATGTTGTCACACATGGCAGGATTTTATCCTTTTTATGGCTGAAAAGTATTCCACTGTGCATATTACCACATTTTCTTAATCTATTCATTGGTTGTTGGGCACTTAGGTTGTTTCCATTTCTTGGCTATTGTGAATAGTGCTGCAATAAACAGGAAGTGCAGATGTCTCTTCCACGTATTAATTTCCTTTCCTTGAATATAATACCAAGTAGTAGGATTTCTGGATCATATGATACTTCTATTTTTAATTATTTAAGTAACTATTATACTGTTTTCCATAATGACTATACTAATTTACTTTCTCACTAACGTGTACAAGGGTTCCCTGTTCTCCACTTCCTCACTAGCACTTGCTTATGGTTAGTGTTTTTGATAATAGCCATTCTGACTGGAGTGAGTTTGTGTTTTCCTGATTATTAGTGATGTTGAGCATTTCTGCATATACATGTTGTCCATTTGTGTGTCTTCTTTTGAAAAATGTTTATTTGGGTCTATTGCTTATATTTTTTGGGTAATTTGTTTTACTATTAAATATTCTGATACCTTTTATATTCTGGGTATTAACCCCCTCTCAGATATAAATTTTATAAATATTTTCTCTCATTCTATAGGTTGCCTTTGCACTCTGATGATTGTTTCCATTGATGAGGAAAAGCTTTATTGATACAATTCTATTGTCTGTTTTTGTCTTTGTTTCCTGTGTGCTTAAAATTATAAATTGTCTAAAAAATCCTTGCTCATTCCAATGTCCTAAAGCATTTCCCCTTTGTTTTCTTTTGGCACTTTCATAGTTAAATCTTTCGTACATTTTGAGTTGGTTTTTAGACTAGTTAGAGATAGGTATCTGGTTTCATTCTTCTGCATGTGAATGTCAAGATACCAATCAAATAGAGTCCCATGAATAACTTTTCAAGGCATTCTGTAAATTCCCTGGAATGATATGCAAATTGTATTACTTATGTATGCTTATATACAATTTTGGAAAGAAAGTGAACAATTTATATGGATTTTATAAGAGGTCTTTGACCTCTGCTCCCAAAATGGTTAATAAGATTCAATGATGTAATAATTGAAAATCTATAGCAGTGGCTACCCTAAAGGAAATCTACCAGCCATCTGTTAATAGCTCTGTCAGATGTTTTTAAGGAGCAGTTTAACAAAGTGTTAACTGTTAATGATTTTCATATAATGGTATCTTGAAAATGTGTAGCTTCTTTACAGGTAAATATCAGTGCTTACTATTGTATTTCCTCTGATTAAAGGCTACTTTAGTTTAAACCATTATAAAATGTTGAATTTTACTAAGATAACATTAAATATTCCTCTTTCCAATTTTCAAGGATACTACCCACCACCTCCAACGGTACCAGCTGGTGTGGCTCCCTGTGTTCCTCGCTTTGTGAGGTCCAATAATGTTCCAGAGTCCTCCCTCCCACCTGCTTCCATGCCATATGCCGATCATTACAGTACATTTTCCCCTCGAGATCGAATGAATTCTTCTCCTTACCAACCTCCTCCTCCTCAGCAGTATGGACCAGTTCCTCCAGTACCTTCTGGAATGTATGCTCCTGTGTACGACAGCAGGCGCATCTGGCGTCCACCCATGTACCAACGAGATGACATTATTAGAAGCAATTCTTTACCTCCAATGGATGTGATGCACTCATCTGTCTATCAGACATCTTTGAGGGAAAGATATAACTCGTTAGATGGATATTATTCAGTGGCTTGTCAGCCACCAAGTGAGCCAAGGACGACGGTGCCTTTACCAAGGGTAAGTAATAATGGAAATAGAAATGCTACTGTAGTGTAGAAAAAGAGCCAATGTATGGAGTCAAACCACCCAGACTCCTGACTTCTCCTCTTACTAATTGCTTGACTTACAAAAGTTACTTGACCTCCCTATGCTTCAGTTTTTTCTTCTGTTTGGTAGAAATAATAGTACCTACCTCATAAGGCTATTGTGAGAATTAAATTAGAAAAACAAAGCTCTTAGTACTAGGCCTGATACATATGGCACATGCTCAATAAATATGTTCCAATAGGAAACTGATAGGAAGATAAAAAGTGATCTCAAATATAAGGACAGAGCCTTTTTTTCAGTATCTATGTATATACAAATGACTTCACTACTAAAAAGTGCTCAGATTTCACTTAATATCAGTTGAATAAATATTAAACTTTCTGTTAAGTGTGGAGAATAGACTAGGAGACTTTCCTGCTTTTTTTTTTTTTTAACTTTATTTTTTTCTTGTCCCAGCAATATCATAAACTGTTTACATTATTTTCACAGAGCATAGTTGAATTTATTCACTACTCCCTAGATGATCAAGATTGTTTCTTTTATCCCCCACTTAGGAACCTTGTGGTCATTTGAAAACCAGTTGCGAGGAGCAGATACGAAGAAAGCCAGATCAGTGGGCACAGTACCACACTCAGAAAGCACCTGTCTCTTCAACTCTTCCTGTTGCAACACAGTCACCAACACCACCTTCTCCTCTATTCAGTGTAGACTTCCGCACAGATGTAAGAAAGGTTTTAATCACTTGATTTGTGGGATCGGTCAAATAGCTGACTTCAAATTATTCAAATCAGGGCTAGCTATTTGGGATATTTTGCAGTGGTTTGGTGTGCAGTTGAATTTAGTTCAATAAACAGTGAGTGTATAAACAGAATGAGTATCAACATATAACAAACATACAATGGTTAGTTAAGTATTATGAGACTCTGAAGACCATTGAGGCATAGTCCTTTACCAAGAATTCAGGATCTTTTCAGCAGTATAGTTTTTATTTTTATGCTGTGCTTTTTGTTTGTTTTATTTGGTGATACTGATCAAACCCAAAGCATTACATACTCCTTACCACTAAGGTGTACACCAAGACCCAATTGATGGATGCTTAGCATGCTGGAGGTCCTGGTTTTGACCCCAGCACCTCCCAAAATTAAGATTTATATGTGTCATTCATCGAATACTTGCTCATTCCAGGCACTATACTAAGCATTTTCACAATGCTATTTTATTTAATTCTCACAAAAACCTTAAGGGGCAGGTATTATCCTTATTTTATAGATTAAGATTCCTACTCAGAGAAGGATCTTTCAGCCTATAAGTAGCTAGTATTTGTTCCCAGTCTTATCTGAGGCATTTTTCTTCTGTCCTTCACAAGAGGTCCAGAATTGCTTATTATTCCTGCCATTTACATCACTGTTAATTATTGTTCTTGGCAATATAAAACAAGTTTTTTGTGCCAGGATGATTTCAGTTTAAACTGCTGTTTTTAGTACTGTTATATTTAGAAAAAGATAGTTATTTTTTTTAAACATTTCCTCTAGTTTACTCCCCACTCCCAGAGGTTCTGATATAAAATATTTTTTTCCAAGTCTTCTCATTTTAAATTTTAAACAAACATAAATTTAGAGAATAATGAACTCCATGTACTCATCATTACTCATCATCCAGCTTCCACAACTGTCACCTTAGCCAAACTTGTTCCAACTGGATTTGGGGGGCAGAGGGTACCAGGGATTGAATTTAGGGGCACTCAACCACTGAGCCATATCCCCAGCCCTGTTTTGTATTTTATTTAAAGACAGGGTCTCACTAAGTTGCTTAGTGCCTCCCTTTTGCTAGGGCTGGCTTTGGAATTGTGATCTTCCTGCTTCAGCCTCCTAAGCTTCGGGGATTACAAGCTTGCGCCACTGTACTCTGCCCAACTGGATTATTTTGAAGTCATCCTAGATACAGTTTTTTTGCCCATAAATATTTCAGTAAAGCATGCAACTTTTAAACTAGATTCAAATTTGTCTCTCCAAACTTACACTTCCTCAAAGCAGATAAAATCTTAGCAACAGAGCAGTAGAACTGCCACTTGCTTGATAGAAAAAATATGTTTTTGCCAGGTTTAATGGCACATGCCTATAATCTCAGTGGTTTGGGAGGTTGAGACATGCGTATCACAACTTCAGAGTCATCCTCAGCAATTTGGCAAGGCCCTACACAACTTAGTTAAGACCCTGTCTCAAAATTTTAAAAAAGTAATGGGCAGGCTGGGGATGTGGCTCAGTGGTCAAGTGTAACTTAACACCTGGGTTCAATCCCTGGTACCAAAATTTAAAAAAAATATATTTTCATTTTTTTATGTACTGATTTAGGAAATAAGTATTTTCCTGAGATTCAGGTCTGCTATCAGCTAGCAAGATGACTTGGAACAAGTTATTTTAACCTTTTATTTTTATTTTATTTTATTTTATTTTTTTTTATTTTTTTAATGTGGTGTTGAGTATCGACATCACATCAGTACTTCACAAATGCTAGGCAAGTGCTCTATTACCACTGAACCACAACCCCAGCCCCTATTTTAACGTTTTAACAATTCTCACAAATTTAGTATTCTGGTCCCTTAATATTCTTTATAGTACCTTTAAAATTTATTCTTCTCTTTTTCTAGCTCTGGAGCCACATTTGAATTCCTTCTGTTCTTTATTTAGTACTGTGTGGTTTATCAGTTATGTTCCTTTATTCACACATGTTGTTTTCTTCTCAAGAAAATTATAAACTTTAAGACATGGACTGTGATCTCTGTGCCTATGTATTTATTTTCTTTTGCCTTTTAAATTTTTTTAGCACACTCTCTTCCATGTCTACAACAGATTATAAATATTTATTGATTGGTTTTGATAATATTAGTCAGGAGTTTCTTCTCAGCACTTAAAGGACAAAGTAAAAAGAAACTGTGCTGTTATTGAAAGTACAATTGTTAATTTAATAGTTACTTTATATTAGTTAGAAGTTTTTAAGTTTAAGTTTCATACTGTCTTCCTTTTTTCTCCTCCTCTCCCCAATCAGTTCTCTGAGACTGTGAGTGGTACAAAATTTGAAGAAGATCATCTTTCCCATTATTCTCCCTGGTCCTGTGGTACCATAGGCTCCTGCATAAATGCCATCGATTCAGAGCCGAAAGATGTAATTGCTAATTCAAATGCTGTGTTAATGGTATGATTTTTCTGGGGTGGGAAATTTGGGGGTGGGGAAGATAATGCATGTTGACTCAAGTTTTAGAATGAATGGTTTTATCTTCCTGTTGCTTTGTAGTTCTGTAAGCATCAGGGTTATATTTAGGTAAGTCTGAAATAAATTGCATTTAATGTTTAAAGTACATGAATAGTTCTCTGGTTTAGTATAGTTGTTGGATTATTATTGAGATCTACAGCAGGTGTTAAATTTACCAAAAAGCAACTGATTACAGATCTTTTGATAATGTATACTGTACCACTAATTCAAGTAATTGCTAGCAGTCTTTTATTGATATTCTTTGGTTTATGCAGGACCTGGACAGTGGAGATGTTAAGAGAAGAGTGCATTTATTTGAAACTCAGAGAAGGACAAAAGAAGAAGATCCAATAATTCCCTTTAGTGATGGACCTATCATCTCAAAATGGGGTGCAATTTCCCGATCTTCACGCACAGGTTACCATACTACGGATCCTGTCCAGGCTACTGCTTCCCAAGGAAGTGCAACTAAGCCCATCAGTGTATCGGGTAATCCATTTAATTAATATTTAGCCTGATATATCCTAATCTCTGTGCTTTTATTCCCCAGTCGATGAGACCAATAACATTTCCTTCCATTTAGTAATCATAGTAAACTTAGATTTAAATGGTTTAATCAGGATCTTGTAGCTAGTGGGATAAAATATACATCATTTTTGAAAAGTATAATTCACATCTGTACACTGATTTTTCATATTTCTACTCATTGTTTCTTTCTATCTTTCTATAGATTATGTCCCTTATGTCAATGCTGTTGATTCAAGGTGGAGTTCATATGGCAGTGATGCCACATCATCAGCGCACTATATTGAACGGTAACATTACTCTTAATTCTTTAGGATTCTCCATTGTCTGACTTGTTTGTGTCCTCAGAATATAAAACCTACCCTGAGTTGTCCATAAAATATGCTTAGCTAATTTGAGCTATGTAATAAATGTCTGAAGAAAAGTTTACATTGGGAATATTGACTGAAAGTTTGAGAGTTGGTCAGTCACATACAGCATATTATGGTCATTATTGCTTTGATTGCTGCATGTATTTCATTTTATTACAATAAACATATTTCTCTTTAAAGGGATAGATTCATTGTTACTGATTTATCTGGTCATAGAAAGCATTCCAGTACTGGAGACCTTTTGAGCATTGAACTTCAGCAGGTAAGCTCTATATAACTCAGTTTTGATTTTTAAAACCTAGGATGATGATTGAAAGCTATAGTTAGCAGCTAAGTTTGTTTTCCTCTCTTCTCGTGTAGGCCAAGAGTAACTCATTACTTCTTCAGAGGGAGGCTAATGCTCTTGCCATGCAACAGAAGTGGAATTCCCTGGATGAAGGCCGTCACCTTACTTTAAATCTTCTAAGCAAGGAGATTGAACTGAGAAATGGAGAGGTAAAGAAACAGAACCTCTGGGCTGGGGGTGTAGCTCAGTTGGTAGAGCTTGTCTCGCAAGCACAAGGCCCTGGGTTTAATCCCCATTACCAAAAAAAAAAAACAGAAACTGAACCTCTCAGCTTCATGCTATTTGCTCTCTGCTGCAGCCCATTGGTTTATACCATTATTTTAGTGCATTTTAGTGTTCCTTTTTCTGGTGGACTATTGATTACACTTAAAATTTATAGTAAAAATGAGATTGTAGTCTTAGATTTCCTAACTCATTCTTTAGTTAAATTATTGGGATTCCCACTTTAAATTAAAGGGACACCCTACAGATATAAAATTAGTATTTTTCTTATTTACAGAGTGATTATACCGAAGATGCAGCAGATACTAAGCCTGATAGAGATATTGAGTTAGAGCTTTCAGCACTTGATACTGATGAACCTGATGGACAAAGTGAACAAATTGAAGTAAGTGCCACAGTTACTTAGAAGGCTTTGTTCATTGGAAATTAGAAAGTATAAGTTACTTTGATTCCAAAGGATTAACACTTTGTTTTCCTAGGAAATCCTGGACATGCAACTTGGTATCAGTTCTCAAAATGATCAGTTGCTGAATGGAACTGCAGTTGAAAATGGGCATCCAGTCCAGCAGCACCAGAAGGAGCCACTAAAGCAGAAGAGACAGAGTTTAGGTGAAGATCATGTGATTCTGTGAGTGTTAGACAGAAAATTCATAACCAGTGGGCACAGGGCATGAATACATAGAGAAGTAGCTACTGTATTAGTTTCATTTTTGCTTCATGTTATGAGAAAAGAACTTTATATAATAGGGTAGTGATTTTTGATCAGTCTGGATTTTTAGGGGAAAAGGTGAATTTGAACTAACAGAGTAGTCCATTGTAGTAACATGAAACTTGCTTTTTTTATTGGGATAAAAGTTAGTTTGTGCTCCAACATTAGGTTAGTCTTCAGTTTGGCCATACTTCTAGGCTACAGAATGGAGAATTAGAACCTAAATGAAGTGTTTCTTGTTTTTAAAATCATTTTAAGATTTTCTTGGATACCATGTTGCCATTTTGTATAATTTCTGCCCAAAATATGAGTTTAATATTGAACCTGACAGTTTGTATGGCCTTAAACTAATCAGTATTTTAATTTTTTATTGTATTTTTTGGAAAATGGGACTTTTTAAATGATTTTTAATACTTTTTATTGATAAAGAAGACTTGCTTTTTGCTGGGGAATCTTGAAAGTTTGATATAAATTTCATTAAGCCTATATGGTTATTCTTAAAAAGTTTTCACTTAAAGCTAATTTGTTTTCATTGTCATTTATTTTCTCTCAGGGAGGAGCAAAAAACAATTCTGCCGGTAACTTCTTGCTTTAACCAGCCACTTCCAGTGTCTATTAGCAATGCAAGTTGCCTCCCCATCACCACATCGGTCAGTGTTGGCAGCCTCATTCTGAAAACTCATGTTATGTCCGAAGATAAAAACGACTTTTTAAAACCTGTTGCAAATGGGAAGATGGTTAACAGCTAAAAGGAGGTTCATCTTTCAAATTTGTGACCACACCATGGAAGCATTTACACTAGCTTTTTATATATATAATATATATTATATAATGTATATTTTTTTTAAAAAAAAAGATATTACTGGGGGCATCCATTTCCTGTGGACTCTTTGATACTTCAAGCCCTCTTGCATTATTAGCATTATGAAAAAAAAAAAAGAAAATTTACTTTACTAGGGTAATACGTTCACTTTCCAGAAGTGATTGGAATTTGGACAACATTTAACTTAAGCTTCAAGCAGCTTTTTATGAGTTTGTAGCAATCCGGTGCAGTAACTGAGCCATTTCCTACTTAAATGGCTTCTATAGAAAATTAACAACTCAGTTATTAAACTAGCAGGATCCTACAATGATACATCTAGTGAAAGTAGACTTAATTAACTTATTTATTTCTATTTTATGTTTCACTGAGAGAAATTTCCATCTCATTCCAGCTGCTTTATTTATCTTTTTCATGGGACTTTGCATGAATTTTTTTTCTTTTTTCTTTTCTTTTCTTTCTTTCTTTCTTTTTTTTTTTTTTTTTTAAATTTTGAAGAGTGGAGTTAGACGTTCTTACCATAGAATTTTACAGGGTTATATACTAGCTTTCTTTACTGCATTATATGTAGGAGTGTGGTGCAGTGCTTTTATCTGTAGCATTTAATTTTTTTGATTTTCCATTTTTCAAAAATAGTTTTTTCTGCTTTATTAATATTTACACACAGGCTACTTGTTGAAGTAATTAATTAAAAATATAACCAAGTGCCTAAGTCTTTCAGCTGATGTACTAGATATTAAATTCTCCTAAGTTATGCAGAATCGTTTTTACAATTTTGATAAATTATGCACTAATGTAATGGCAGTTTTTTAAAATGCAGATTTAAGCCTGTACATTATTGAATCTGATGACTTGGCAAAAGAATCAGGTGCTTTCAGCTTTCTTGAAAAAACCCTGTATGTAGCGTTTGCACTGACTAACAAGATGGTATTGCTGGGTTTTTAATTTAAAATAATTAATTTGGATGTTCATTGCATTATCTTGGTTAAATATTGTTTATTGTTACTTCATGTTGGGGTTTTAATTTTCCTTGTTTTCTGACTGTTAGGTTGATAAGACTATGAACCATGTATAGTAGAACATTGGCTAACATTTACTCATACTTAAAAACATGAATAATATCTGCCCTGCCATAATGTGACTGAAATTGTTTTGACTTGGCATCTGAAAGTATGCAGTATGTTCAACCAGCCGTGCCTCAGATTTGTAGGAGGTATTTTATTGAAACATAAATTTCAGTCAACATTTGAAAACAAAAGCTGGGCATTCCTTCCTGGTGATCTTGCCTATAGTTTGTCTTTTTGTTTTTCCTTCATTTCTTTAAGATTAGTTTGACTTTTATTATTATTTTTTTAATTAACTTCTGTGAAGTTGTTTACTCTGAAAATTGTACTGGAATATTTTAAGCCAAGCTGATCTTTCACCAGGTGTACTGTATGTAAGGGCTTTTCCTGCTAGCAAGATGCTTAAACAGGATCATGTTATTGGTCGTCTGAGCTATTTAGTTATTTTACAAAACCACAGCATTGTATCAGATAAGATTTTGATAAAAGTTTTGTGCACATTTCCAGGGGTGGGAGGGTTGACATTTCCCTGAAATTTCTTGATCAGAATGAGTAAATACTGGTGTTTGATACCTGTCTTAACGAACATGCTCATAAGGTGACTGATAAGTTGTAAATATACCTGAGAAACAAAGGGGTAGTTTTGATATTCTGGTGTCAGTATGGAAGATCTTACACATTTATTTAATACTCAAATGTATGAAGATGTTTGTTTGTAGCATAACAGCACAGTAGCCTTGACTTAATTTCCTTTGGTTAGTATTATACCTTTTTGCCATGGCCAGTGCTCCCCATCCCTACAAAGACATTTTATTTATTTCACTCTGTAATCTGAAATGAATAGGAACAAGAGTTTTAAACCATGTTATTACATTAACTTATTTCTGACATTATAAATTAGCCTAGGATATTACAGGAACATGATTGTTATATAATTTATATCAGAACCTTTCTATAAATATTACATTTTAAATGCTTCCAATGTACTTTATTTGCTGTTTGTAATTCTAAAAAGGATATGCAAACCAGTCTGTCTATTTCATGGATATTTAATAGTGAGATCTTCCATGTTGAAGGTAATGTATTTTTTTTTAAGATTTTAAAATTGCTATTTTGTTACAAAATAGAGACCTATTAACAGTTTGAGAGCTCCTTATGTGCCCTCAGGGAAAGAACCCTCTGTGCAACAGAACTACACAAAACATCTTCAGCACGTTCTGAGGGTGAATATATACTACATAAATTGATCTTGTGTATTTAACCTTATCTTTTTAATTTTAAAATTGAAATTTTGAAACTTGGTTGTGCTCTGCTGGAGGGGGTTGGGATAAACTGCTTAGGTGTTTGCCTACTTGTCCAGTAAATTACATTTGCATCACTGTATGTATATACCTGCCACCTTATTGGTATGTCACAGAACATTTATATTAAAATAATGCTTGTCTTGCAGCAGGTGATCCCATAAAACATAACTCCCTATTCTTAATATGTTGCTCTCTTTCTCATTAACAACATAGGAATTGTTTCTGTGTTGAGATAATTCTGCTTTGCATCTTTCTGTATGTGGTGGCCACCTTCTGCCTGTCATGGTGGATTTTAATGTGAAGTAAAGCCATTGGTTTCCTACCACTTTAGAAGAAAACAGCTCATCTAATCTTTCTTCAAAATGGTACCTACTGATGTCATAGAGGAAAATTGTACAGTCAGACCTAGAGTGTGACTTAACATTGAGGACCAGGGTCATTTGCCCCTTTTACCAACATGTTGTGATGTACACATATTTGGAATCAAAGACTACAAAGCAACAGGAGAGAAAATTTTATAATGTTGGTAACTAAACTCTGTTGCCAATCAGGAAAAAGCAATCTGAGGTCTGGAAATCGGGAAAGTGGTGGTTTCTTTCTTTTTTGTGTTTTTCTTTTTTGAATTTCTAAGTCTCATTCCAAAGTCCATTTGCCTCATTTAGATGCTATGGATGTAGTATCAGTAGTTCTTTGTGTGTGTGTGTGTGGTGTGTGTGTGGTCTCATTTCATTTTATGAATTCTGAGAAAGTTATATATGTATTTCTTCCTAGTTGGTACCCAAACAAATCAGATTCCCTTGCCTTTGCTGCAGTGACTTACTTTCAATGCCATGTGATGAACCAGTGTCACACATGAAAAGTTGTGCATTGTAATTTTCAAGAAAAGGTAGTTCATTAGGCCAGTGACACTGATTTTCCTCCTCTGTTAGGTCTTTAGTAAGAGAATAGTAATTGAAACCTCACATACTAAAACTGAAATTGTCACTCAGATTTCAAAGTGGTGTTAAGTATATAAGTAACATTCCAGTCTTACCTATTGGCTTGAGAAAATACAAAATGCACAGAAATTCATAGGAATTTTAAATTGAATCATTTAAACATTTAAAAATATATATTCTAAAAACCATCTGCCTTGCTTTTGCATTTTGAATGTTAAAGCCCATGTTGTCTCCTTAACAGGGGTGGAATTTGTAACAGTCAGATTCCATGAGTGATTTCAATTTTGAATCTGAGTATTTCTTCCCTAGCTTCTTTAAGTCATTTTCTGAGCAGGCTGTCACCAGTATTGGTAACTGATCATTAAAGGGAAACGTTGGATTGCAACTATGTATTAGTTTCCTGGAAGAACTTTCCTGTGTTTTAGTGAATGAAGAATGTTGATGGGATCACTTACTGTATGTAACTCCTATATAAGGACCCCTTCTGCAAGCAGAACACAAATGAGCGTGCTCATGGAGTATCCCATTTTCTGGATAAATAAGTTTGCTAGTAACTTCTTTATACTAGCAGTTTCTTTGTATCCCTTTGCTGGCAAGGGAATATAAGGAGTCAAGACCACAGATTAAAACACCCCACATTTGAGTGGAGATGTGTGTTTACTCCAAGAGCAGTTATTCCCCCCAAGTCTGAAACTAGCAGTTTGTGTGCGCGCGCGCACGTGTGTGTGTGTGTGTGTGTGTGTGTGTGTGTGTGTGTGTGTGTTTGGGGTTTTGTTTTGTTTTTTGTTTTTAACATAAAATTTAAAAAATATCCCCAAACCAGTGGAAAACAGACACTGGCTGCACTTAGTACTGCCAAAAGCCAAGGTCATTTGCACATATTCCATCAACCTGTCAAGAATTAGGCCTCACTTTATAACCCAAGGCATGGAAGTGCATGCATTCTCTTAGCTGGGCAAACAGTTATACTGTAGTTGTGATACAACACATGTGGCTTTTATTTGTACTGCACATATCCACTGTACAGCCACTTGGGAGTATCGTGGTTAGCTTGCAGCAACTGCTGTCTGCATTTATACTGTTTATTGCATATTCTTTTCCCTGGAAGTGAAAGAGAAATGTTTTTCTTGTTGCATTGATTACACTTTATAAATTTGCTTAGCTGGAAAGTTTGGGAAAAGAGGCCTGTTTGTCAATTGTACAACCGATTGTGAAGCTCTAGTGTGAATATTTTTACGTCTGTATTAGACATTTTCTTTGCAAATCTATTGTTCGATTGAAATGTAAATGAAATTAAAGATGGTGTACACCCATCATGTAAAAAGCAGGCACCATCTCTAAGATGGATTTAATGCTCATTTTTAAGGCATATACTCAGCTTCTATTTAAAACTATAATTTAAAATAATTCTGTACAATGAAATGGGGAATATATATGGGAATAAATTCTATTCCGTTTATTTCAATTTGAATTTCCAAATTGTAATGTTTCCCTTTGTGCTATAGGAATAGGATTAAATGGGGGAAGGCTAGGATTTATAAGGCCTGTATATGGGGGGAGGGCAGAGATGGAACAATGAGGGTTGTGATGATAGTGAATAGCAAAGAGTGAATTCTGTGTGTTTTTGCTGTAGCACTGAAGTGAAGAGATATTAGCTTTGGCTGTTCACAAAATAGAGCATCATGATTTTCAGTGTTTGAGAGAAATTTGATGGAAAAGTTTGCAGTACTTGACATGTATTTGCATGCACAAAATAAAATTATTTGTCCACCTTAAAAGTTGTTTAGTGTCAATGTTAAGTTTGTGATATATTTAATTGTCTCAATTTTCTTGTTTTTTTTTTTTTTTTTTTTTTTTTTTTGGCTTAACAAAGCTACCAGAACACTCCTTAAGTGGGGATTTAAATGGTCACCTGCAGGACTGGGGATGTGGTTCAGTACTAGAGTACTTTCCTAGTATACATGAGGCCCTTGGTTTGATCCCCAGCATCATTATACACACACACACACACACACATAAAAACACACATCCATGTGTCATTGGGAAGGATCTGAAATGAATGAGTACACCCAAGGAGGCAAGGAGGTTGAAATATTC